GCTACGATCATCACATTCAATTAAATTACCCAGGGAACACCAACGCCACCCAGATCGAAGATCGGAAAATCGGGAACTTGGTATGTCGGTAGCTCTGGATCTTAGTAACTTCGGAGCCCTGGAAACCTGCTCCAATTTTTTCGCGCACTCGCGATTCACTGGCACTCGCTCGTCGGCAAAAAAAAACTCCACTTCACTTTTCGCACTTTGCTTTTGCTGTTGTTGTTATTAAACAATTAAATATAAATAACAACGATGTGGTGCGGAAAGAAAAAAATAAATACAGAATAGGAGGAAATAAAAAGAGATGTGTATTTAATTGAGCGCGACACGCAGCGATCTTGTGCGACACATTTATTCGAGCGGGCAGCTCGGCTGCAGCGATTCTCGCGATGATCGTCTAGCGCCAAAACTGACGGCTTCTGACTTCTGGCGACGGCTTTTCGGTTCCCGCAGCAACGCTCGGCTCTTTCTGGCCTTATGTATGTTTTACCCAGATCGGCGGTACTAACGCGACGATCGACCGATCGGACCGGACCGACGACAACTGACTGTGGCCAAGTGCGAACTCGAACTGAAGTGGAGCCGCCGCCGCCGACGAAACGAAGATCGCCGCCAAACGGCGACGCTGCCGGCAGCAGCAACAACAATAGCAACAACAGCAGCAACAACTCTCTGTGCGATAATAACAGCGGCAGCAGCAGCAGCAGCAACAACAACAACAACAACAATAACAACAGAAACATTGCGAGATGCGAACCGATTGCGCACTGTGGTCGCAGGGCTATGGAATATAGTACGTTCTGGCAAGAGATCAGGGAGCACATTCCCTAATCTGCATTCTAGAATCTACGTGTTAAACGCTCTTCAGGACGGTTGCTTGAAAATCCGAATAACATAAGTGGTTAACTTTGAAATATATCCAGCTAAAGGAAATCCCAGAACTTACAAATTTTAAAATGATATAAAGTAATTGATTTAAGTGATCCACAGATTGGGAAAACATCCAATTTTAACTTTAAAGTTTTAAAATCCAATCAAAAAGTAATAGCAAAATTGCGATATATAAAACAATTCGGAGTATGGAACATATTCTGACAAGAGATCAAATACAACAATCTAGAAAAAAATAAATAGATCGGTTCTTTGGCACATCAAGAAAAGAAGTGTTTATACTCTCCCGATAAGTTGGAGTTTTAAAATCGCAAATTAGTTCAAAGAAATAGCTTAGATGGCAAAAAACCAAAAGTGCTAACTGAAGTCAAATATTCAACGACAAGTGCTTCGTGTAAATCACTTTTAAAAGAGGTGCTCATCATTTTGATAAACTTAAGCAATTTAGGGCACTACATTCCAAAACCATATATTATTGATTTTATTTTTAATTTATTATTTTGTACCCCTGATTTGAAAAACTAAGCTAAAAAATGTGAAAGTTGAACAATTTTATTTCGTTGAGTAATATTCTTGCTCATGGAAATGCTGACCAAATCAGTGTTACGGTTGTGAAATGAGACTTGGATTGTCGGAAAGTTTTGACACCTACAATTTACAATTGCAAGCAATTCTTGTCTTGAACCGAATTTATAATAATCTTAGCTCGAAACTGGATCCAATGACTTTTGCAAATCAACTTTAGTTCTTTAGGAGTTCAAAGATTTTCATTAACTCGAAAAAAAAATACTTTTGCTTACTTTTTGATATTTGGGAACTTATGAGAAAAGGCAAAAAATAGAACCCACTATATTTTCTGACTTGTTGGCTTTACTTGACTCGAAGCTTAAATTGCTCTTATTTTCTGATCCATCTTTTTCATTTCTTATATTTTTTTTGCGACCTTTTTTTTTGTCCACCCACACTTCTTTAATTACAAAACGCGCCGATTACCGATCGACAATTTTCGATTCCCGATCACACTTTACTTCGTTCAAATAAAAGGAAGCTTCTGTTTTTGTTTTCATTGTGGCCCTTCCACTTAAAACTTCAGGTTTTCTTGGTGTTGTTGGTAGTGTGCCATTGTATCATGTCGTCGATCTCATTCGCAAATTATCTTTGTTTGCGAAATTGTAATTGTTTTTGCCATGCACAACTCAGCTAGAAAACCTAGAAAGGGAGTTGGTTTCAAAGGTGGCAGTTGAAATACCCTGTAACTTGTTGTTTAATAACAACAATAACCAAAAAAAACAATAACAAAAACTCCAATTCTTCCAATTCGCAAATAATTGTTCACATGCATACTGCCTGTGTTAATAATCTAAAAAAAGGCTACACAAAATACAAAACTTCAATTAAAATAATTTTGTTTGATCAAAGATAAATACTTTTTTTTTTTGCCAACCTTTTCTATGTTTAAAATAACTAATAAAAAAAATGTATCATAAGAAACTACAATTAGAGAAAACATGAAACTTTTTCAAACTTGAAAATTTTGTTTGTGCTTTATAGTAAGATAACCTTACTGGTTTGAAGTTGGTGGATTTCTATATCTATCAATTCTCACAGGAAATAAAATGTACTGTTTGGGTGATATTTTTTCTCAGTGTAACCAGAGTGCTGAATAGCAGCAGCACAATTACTATTGTTGTAGTCGATAATGGCTTTTCTGTTTACTTTTCGCTCGTCCCCAAAAGCGGGGCGTGTTCGTCGCTTTGTATTTTTGTTTTGTAAGTAGTTTTTGTGGAGCTGCTTAGCTCATTTTTTGTTCTGCTATTTTTATTATTTATTATGAAATAGGGTATTCAAATTTTGAGCAGAAATTCGCCAATGTGCACCCTTATTTTAAAGAATAAACGAAATTGGATGTGATTAGAAAAACCATATAAATATTTAAAAGCATTTCAAGGATGTTATGTATGCTACTTTTTTGAAGTTCTGCATCATTGTGATGTTCTCATTTTTCATGATATCCGCCCTTTTCGAAATTGCAAAAAATTGATATTCTGAAAAGTAACCAGATAATATAATATAATATTAAAAAACAAATTATACGATCGCCCGCCTTTTTTTGAACAAGTTTTTCTTTTTATATGTTTAAAAACTGGGAGGTCTGGAAACTGTTTGAAAAGGGCAGGATGTGCTTTAGCTTTGGAGTAAAACTTACGAGACCTCACAACCTACGGACCTACGATTACCCTACCTACTATAATTTGCACTATTTCTGGACTGTGTCCCACTAGCAAAGCATTGAACTATGCTGAGTCTGGGAGTCGGATTCCTATTCCGATTCCTATTCGGATTCAGATTCGGATTCAGATTCGGATTCAGATTCGGATTCTGGGTTTCTGTGTGGGTTGAGTGTCGCCGCAGCGACTGTCATTAAATAGTTAGCTCTTCGCTTTTTATTATAACTACTTCTCTGCCATTGTTTTTTGTTTTCCTTTTGTGTATTTGTTTTCTTAACAATAAAGATGGGTGAACAACAAATGGACCAAATGAAAGAGAAAACGGCAACAAAAACCGTTCAATTAGCAGTTTTTGTGGTCACTGAAAGTGCTTCAACCGTAAAGCGATAAACTACAGGGTAGCAGAGGAAAACTGGGTAAAAAGTGTTTAGAAAAGGTTTGATTTGCAAAGGGACATCGTTTTTCGCGGAGCAACTTTTCGCTACAATTACCAAATGGAGTGTAGTTTACTTTTGATTTATATTAAAACTCTTAATGAAAAGAAAATAAATTGATACAAAAATGTTTTGGTTATGATACAATTTATTCAGGTTATTTTTTAAAAAGCGAATTAGCTCAAAATCCTATTTTTCCTTAAACGCTTTTATTAACTTTAATACATCTAAGTTAAGCTCTGTTTATCTCGTCTTGCCGCCTTTGGCAAGACTTGTCCTCTACCAGAATGAAAAATGTATGGTAATTTGACGCAAAAAATATGAAAAGGAGGTTTCGACCTAAAGTGTATTTCATATTTGCGGGGTAACAATGGTCTGTTACATCTCCTCCCCGAAGAGCCTTTGAAACCGCGCGACAATAGCTGGAAAACTTGTGAGCTTTATTTTCCCATTCACTCTCGATGGGAGACGGAGAATGAATGGTTTGTGCTACAATCGTCCGATTAAGTGGCTCATTAGGCGCGTAGGAGAGGTCATGTGAACCATTTGGGGAAATTGCATAAGCGATCCACCCAAGTGCTGTCCCCCCAAAACGACGGACAATGGCGGCTACACGGGAGTTCAGAGCCCAAGAAGCTGTGGAGGTACACCTGCCATAGAAGTACCACCCACCCACGGTGGGTCTAATGGAATTTTAACGTTACACGAACCCACACAACGAAACAGAACACGATGGAACACACAACACCTAGCCACCCACGAAAAGCAGCGCCCAACGACCAGAATTAATGCGAACGTGGCGCATGCTGCTAATGTATCTCTTATTAGCGGACGTACGCATTCCATCCCTCATCTCTCATCCCTTCAAACCCTCATCCCCAATCCTACATCCCCTCATCCCGGGTTTCCCTATCCCGTATCCTGCATCCTGTGTCCCCGGCTAATCCACTGGAAACATCATTTTGAGCACCTGTTTAATTGCGTTAATCACCAGGAGCAAACATTATTGCCATCGCCATCAGAAGTCGGAATGATTATGATGGGGTCCTCGGACCCTGATTACCGCGCCTTTTCGACCCCCCGACCAGAGTCGGGGTAATGCTAATTTTTATGTACTTTTTCCTGGACGCAGCTGGGCGGAAGTGTCCTTGTTTCCCATCAGGTTATAGGTTAGGTGGCCATTAAAACTGCACTAGTTATGAATTTGACACTGGGGGGCCTCAAAGCAAAAGGAAATTATCATCCATAAAAATGATTTTTATTATATTGTTATTATTATATTATATATTATTATTATATTATATATTATTATTATATTATATATTATTATTATATTATATATTATTATTATATTGTTTTTCAATTGGCAACAGTGGTTATAGTTTCCCATCTATATTTTAAATTAGGGCCCTCTTGAAATATTTGAATTATAGAAGTAGGCTATTGAAATCCAAGTGAAATCCAAGTGAAACCCAATTGAAATCCAAGTGAAATCCAGGTGAATTTAACAAGTTGTCGTAGTTTACTCCATACTCTACCGATCACAACTCAAGTTTCCCCGACTGAACGGGTTACTGCTCAGCGAAAATGTGCGACCACAAGTTCCTGTTCAAGATCCTCGTCCTGGGCGACTCCGGCGTGGGCAAGACCTGCCTGCTGATGCGCTTCGTGGACGACCGCTTCACCGGGAAGTACGTGTGCACGGTGGGCATTGACTTCAAGGTGCGCCTCGTGGAGGTGGCGGGCCAGAAGGTGAAGCTGCAGATCTGGGACACCGCCGGCGAGGAGCGCTTCCGCTCGGTGATGCCCTCCTATTTCCGAGGTGCCAATGGCGTTCTGCTCGTCTACGACACCACGTCGGCCGCCAGTTTCCAGCACATCGAACACTGGCTGGAGGAGATGCGGCGCTGCTGTCCGCATCGCATCAACGTGCTCCTGGTGGGCAACAAGTGCGACGACCTGGAGAGGCGCCAGGTGAGCCAGGAGCAAGCCACCATCTACGCCGACCACCGAGCACTCGCCTTTCGCGAGGTGTCCGCCAAAAGTGGCGTCAATGTGAACTACGTGTTCGCCGCCTTGGCGGTGAACATCTATAACCGCCTGGTGATCTCGCGTCGCCTTCTCGCTGAGCAGGATTGCAAGGACGAGAAGCAGGACAAGAAGCCGGTGGCATCCAAGGTCCACTTGGCTGGCCAACGTCGCCTGCGATCCAATCCCCCTGAGCGGTGCTGTTAAAAATTTTTTTTTTTTTTATCATTTTTTTGTATTTCCTGCTGAGGAGATGACGTTTGATTTACATTTAATTATATTTCCCCAATTTGTTTCTCTCCCTTAATTAATTCTAAGAATTCTTCTGACTCTATAATGGGCTTTGTTAAATATTTAAACTTTCCAAACTATCAGGTCTCCTTAAAGCTTATTCCTTTTGTAGAGAAACTCGACATATTTCTCATAAGCTTTTATTACACTTCTCATGAAAATATTGCCTATCTCATCCTCTGGTTTAGTCGCAATTACGCTGAGAAAAATTGCTAAACCAAAAAAAAACTTCTGAAGATTCTAAAACCATAAAAATAAATTTAAGAAATATTATTATGTGAAATTTATAATATTTATAATGACATTTAAACTAGTTGGGTGTCATTTGCCTTATTAAATGCAGTCAGGGTAGAGCCAAAAAATAATTTGTGTTTGCCGAAAGTTTCATTTATTCTTTTTTAAATTAATTTAAGTCGAGATTTTTGTATTTATTTTTACTTTCTAAAACAGGACTGGAATTTCATACGCTTTTCAACTCAATAGTAGTATGTTGAGGGAGCATTCCCTTACTTCCGAACAATCATCCCCAAGTGTTTCACGTGTATCCCATTATCTCGCTCCTCCACAAACCCTGCAATCAAATCGTTTCGCAATTGTCCGGTCTCAATTTATTCGGGCTTACTTTCATGTCTCCGAGAAGCCGTGCATGTGGGCGGGTTCCGTTGACCAACAAACGTGTCCACATAATCAAGGGGTCCTCATCACCATCATCTTACGACTTTGAATGAAGCAACGGAGCCAAGATTAGCCTGTATCTTTACTGTGGTTCAGCAAAATATTATTTGTTTTAGGTTGTGAAACCTTCAGCACAAAAAGGGAAGATTAAATTTATGACAATCATGACAAAAAAACTACTTTTCTTTTCAACAGGTCAATTCGGGTTTTAATACTTTCTTTGTTTTTTTTGTTTATTCAGTAAGCTGGATCTTAAAATAATGTCGGTTTTGACAAAAAAAAGATTTTTGCACTTGTATGCAAAAAATAATATAATAATATAATTTTAATACAATATAATTCTAATATAATATAATATAATACAATAAAATACATTATTATATTATAATATATTATATTTGATAATTATAATAATATAATATAATAATATGAAAACGCGATGGGGATGTCAGTGGAACGTTGAATGTCCTTATGGAGAAAACTAAGACTACGTTACGCTCGTGGAGCGTTTGTCCAGCTAGGGCGGCGTCCAATCGATGTTGGCCTGCTCGGCGTACTTGGCGAACAGCTGCTTCAGCTTGACGAGAACTTCGTCCTGTCCCGCTTCGGACAAGCCTCCGGCGGCGCTGGCCCAGTTCTTCAGCACCAGGCTCGGGCTGCACGTGGCCATGTTGATCTCGGGATTGAACCGCAGCGGATCGACTTCCTCAGCGGGCTCCGCCAGCGATTGGTTGACCTGCTGGGGCGTTCGTACGGTGAGCTGGCCCCTCGGCTTCACCTGCTTGTAGATCTCGGCCATGTGCCGCAGGTACTTCTGGCCCATTGTGCACCGGCTCCTGGGGTCCATGATCTTCAGGAAGCGCATCTCGCGCAGGGCGTACTGCAGGCCCAACCGGCATTCGGTTACTGCAAAGAAATCGCAAAAAATTAAACGCCATTCTGCAGAAATCCTTTATATTGCAAGTTAAGCCTGCCACATTAACTAATCCATTCATGCATACCTGTGGCACTGATTTCTTTTGAGACGCGCACCCAGGCGGTGCGCTTGTCGATGGTGCTCGCCCGCTGGAAGGTGTTCGGATGGAGACGGAGGAGGCGGGTCAGTTCGAAGGCCTCGAGGGTGGGAAGGATGTGGTGTGGGCGTTTCGCCTGGACATCGCCACTGCTGCGCGGTCTCTTGATGATGCCTTTTGGGGCTTGCTTGCCTGGCGATGGTTCCTCCGCTGGTGGCTTCTTTGGCTCTGTTGCGATTTCTGGTACGGCAGCGGGTGGAGGAGCTGCCCGTACCGATGGAGACAGCGGAGCAGCGGGAGTAGCGGGTGGAGACGGTGGATCAGCGGATGTAGTGGATGTAGCGGATATGGTGGTGGAAGTGGTTGAGCGAGGAGAAGCAGCAGTTGCAGTGGGTTGAGCAGGTTGATCAGATTGATCTGGTTGATCAGGTTGAGCAGAAGTAGCAGTTGCAGCAGTTCCAGAGGCAGCGACAGTCCGTCTAAAGGTGGCTTTATATTTGCCCGGCTTAGTCAGCTTGCCGGTGAGCAGGCGCTTGGCCTCCTCCGACTCCCATGGCATCGGTTCCTTGGAGAGTCGCGCCAACAGGCTCATGGGCGTGGGCCGGGTCTTGTCCGCGGGATCGGCGGACATGAGGGCCTCGTACATGCTGCAGCGCTTCACCTCCTCGGAGATCTTGTTGTGCACGATGTAGTAGTAGGGCTCCAGCGGATGGTAGCGCACGTAGGCCAGGAACCTGAGCTGCTCGAGCGCCTGCCACCAGCTCTGCGGCCAGGGATTCTCGATGCCGCGTTCCAGATCCTCCATGTACGTGCGGAAGGCGAACTTGAACATGGACCAAATGTCCCGATGATTGACTGCAAGTCAACAGAAAATATTCAATTAATAGACAGTGATTAGGTGAGCAGATTCACAGGGGGGAAACCTACGATTGGGAAACTTCGCCCGCGCCTCGCGCCACACCGCCTGTCGATCCCGATCCATGCACGGTTTCGGAACTGACGCCGTCTCGCCAGGTCGCGCCTTGCGCAGCTCCCAGTAGAGGTGTTCGTGCTGCTTGAAGTGCCGAATCACATCCGGCAGCACGTCCTTGTGGTCCATCCACTGGTACTTGCACGCGATCTCGTCGAACTTGCTGAACAAGCGGTGCGACTTCTCCCACACCTTCACGCTGCTCTTGAAGGGACGCATCAGTTCGGACATCGGCGCGATCTGCGGGAACACACTGATGTTCTCCGCCAGGAAATTCCAACCTGCACGCAGAGCCTCCTCTGAAAACAAGATTAATGTGATTTAATTACTTCAGTATTTCATGCACCCAATCGTTAGGCATAATCAATTTTAATCTTCATTGCTGTCTGGATTTCCTAATGAAATAATTTGAATGTTTTCAATAGTAGTTTTATAAATTGATATCATTCAAAATAATCAGAAATCATAGCTATTGGAATACAGGAGGTTTGCTCACCTGGCATGTGAAACTTCTTGCTGATGGCCCTCCACGCCTCGTCGCACTTTTCGGCCAGTTGGGGATCCTTATTGTGGATCTGGGGCACAGCCATCGCCTCGCGGATGAGCGACGCTGTCTTCCCCATATTGAGATTGTAGTGCAGAGTAAGTTTGCCGCCCCAAATGTGCAGCAAGTTGCCACTGGTTGCGCTCTCCTCGAAATGAACGTTAATTTCCTTCTTGAACTCCTCCAGCTGACTGCTTAAGGTAGTCGCGGCTTCCTTTTCTGACTGAGATACTTCGGGTGCCTTGGCATTCGATGCTGCTTTATCTTTAGTTGCTGCTGGCGAACTGGCTGCAGTTTTTGCAGCGGCCACTGCCCTTTCCTGGATCACCGTTCCCGTATCCTTGACTGGTGATGTGGTCGCCGCAGTCGCTCTATTCGCAATGCCCTCTGTCGATAGTCTTGTGGATTTCGCTGGGGTTGCTTTAGGCAATGCTGCAGATGGCGCCGATGTTGCAGGTGTTGCTGTTGCACTGCTCGCGCCTGATGCTGCTTCCGCACTTGCAGTTGCTGCTTCCGCACTTGCAGTTGCTCCTGCACTTGCAGTTGCTCCTGCACTGCTCCTCTTTGCTGGAGGAGGCGGAGCCTCTGCTGCGGGTTTTGTCTTTCTTATTATCGCGGGCTTTGGTAGTGGTGCAATTGGGCGGAACTTCCTGAGTAAATCTGCTGCTGACTGCTTCGGATTGCCTTTGCTGGCTGCTGTCGCTGCATTAGCGTTCGTTGCTTCTCCTCTTGGTAAAGGATTTGTTGCTGTTGCTGGCGCAGATGCAGCTAACGCAGATGATGCCAGCGAAGATGATGCGATCGCAGGTGCAGCAGCTAACGCAGATGATGCTACTGCAGATGATGCTACTGCAGATGATGCTACTGCAGATGATGCTACTGCAGATGATGCTACTGCAGATGATGCTGGCGCAGAATTAGCCGCTACTGATCCCAAGGGTTTGCTGGCCGAAAGACCATTGTTCGAGGATATCCAACCGCTGTTCAAACCCGGCTGGTGGATTCGAACCATCGGAGGTGCAGTTGCGGGAGTAACGTTGGCGTTCATCGGCACTTTGGGTCCCAAATTGGTGGGCAGTAGGTGTGGAGCAGCCGGTGGCCTGATCGGAGGTCGGCATTGGGGCATTGCGTTCGAAATCTGTGGCACCATCGGCGGCTCGCTAAGCAGTGCTCCCAGTGCCGATGGTTGCGGATACCGGTGTGCCGACAGTCCGCCGACATTTTGCGGATGCACCGCTCGTATTATGGTTCCAGAGGTGGTCGGCGGCATCTGCGTGGCATTGGGAATGCGCGTGTTGGCTCTTATTGTCACCTGCAAGCCGGGTCGCTGTGGAATCGCACGCACTGCTCCCGGCTGGGCATGCGCGCCAGCCAGCTGAATGCTGGCTGGTATGTTCAAGCTGGCCGCCGCCTTTGGCGCAATCCGTATGGAGGGCGGCAGCTTCAGCGGCATCCTGCTGGGCGATGCCACGCTGACGGCGGACGCAATCTTGGGGATCACAAACGAGGGCGGACTGATGGGAGCTGGCAGACTAATGGGCGCAGCAACTGGCGCCGGAACGGAGCACCTTCTGACCATCGAGATGGTGGGTGCGGTATTCGTGGCGATGCTGGTACTGATGGTCTTCGGGACGGGCGGATAGACAATGGCAAATGGAAGGCGGGGCGGCGAAGGCGGTTTCTTCGGCGAAGGCGCTTTCTTCGGCGCAGGCTCCACTGCCACGGCGCCGTTGTGGGCGCGCTTGATGCTGCGACGGGTCGTCGAGCGGGCGGCCACCAGCTTGAAGATGCTGCTCAGGGCGTTCTCGAAGTACCACTTGTCCTGCAGCTGGTAGCCGGCCACGCGCATCGCCTGCAGTTCGTAGTGGAAGGAGCGCAGCACCAGCCAGGTGACCTCGCATCGCTGATGGCTGCTCATCACCTCGACGCCCACCTTTATCCAGAGCTCGTCGTAGCACGGCGGCTTCACCTCGCTGTTGATGCAGTCGTCCGTCAGCTTGACCAGTTGGGGCATGTTGCGCATCGTGTTGATCAGCGACATCACGCTGCGGAAGTGCTCGATCGGCTCGTGCCAGCCGGTCCTCAGGTACTTGGAGGCCTTGGCCACGGTGCCGCGCAGAGGGATGATATGCGTGCGCAGGAACTCCATCAGCTGGCAGAACTCGGAGCTGGCGCTCTGGTCGGGCCGATGGACCAGCTCCCATTCGTAGCGCGTCTGCAGCTTCAGCCAGCCCTTCATTAGCTTGGTGGCCTTGTCGTGCAGCTCGTTGGCAATGCCACCCCAGATGAGGCCCCTGTGGCGTGCGTTCCCGTAGCCCTGAGCCGTGGGATCGTACAGCTGCGGATAGGCGCGCACGGCCTCGATCAGGCGCCGCTGATCGGGAGTGCAGCGGAATTGGGGCGCGGCGTCATCCTCGAGATCCACATCAATGATGTCCACTGGCGGTTCCACGATCACCACCTCGGGCAGGGCCTCCTCGTTCTGTTCACCGCTTTCGGCGACCTCTGCGGGCGGCTGCATCTTATCCGCCATCAGTGGGTACCGGGCGATGTGTGGAAAGAGGAACATCAGCTCCTCCTCGTGCCGCAGAGTGGGTCTGCGACGCAAGGGTGCCCGGCGGTGGAAGGTTCGCAGGAGGCGCACATGGCGCTGGCATTGATAGCGGAGCTCCGACCAGGCCACCAAGCAGTTGGTCAGATTCGTGCCCACACAACAGGCGATCCTCTGCCACAGCTTCTCCCGGTGGCCGTCGTCGTGGAATTTCGGATGCCGAGAGTCGTACAAGGCCGGATGGCTGCGCACCAGGGCGATGAGCCTCCTCTCAGCCGCATTGCTCGAAATGATGTCGGAATCGGTGGCCCTATTGAACGGATTACTGGCCACATCCTCACTCGCCTCCAGACGTCTTTTTGTATCAGCTGTCGGGGCAGGAAAGCAAAAACTATATTGGATTACCGGTTGCCTCACCATTGGGGGACTCACCATTGATGATCAGCGGATTAAACGAGTCCAACGGACTATCACCGATGGCAATGACCTCCTCGTCCATGCCTTAAATGCCGATAAACGATCCGAACTTGACGAGTTCGCGCTTTTCCGCCCAAAAAGGAAGCGAAGAGTTCGCGAGTCGGGTAAACCCGATGTCCAACTCAACTAAACCGATGTCACACTCTTCAGACGCAAGTTCACGCGCGAAACACTCCGTATTAATCGAACACTACATGTAGCTATGTAGGTCTTGTCCAATTGCCCGAAAAGCGGGTCTTCCGACGCCGAAAAATTCGGGGTTTTCCAAATGCAGATTGCTCCTAAGGCGACCAAAAACTCGACGATGTTGCCAGACCTGGCAAGCGTCTGTTGATATTTTTCCCAGCGTCCGGCAGCGTTGGCCGTGCAAAACAACAATGGCGGCTTCGGTGACACGTGAATGGCAAAAAGCTGTGCGGATTGTTTTAAATAACTAATCGCTGAATGAAAATCAAAATTAACTTTTGCTAACTCATCACACCAAACAGGCAAGTAAAGTCAGGCTAGTCGAAAGGATTATCCAAAATGAACTGGGACTAATGTAAATGAGAATGTCGCTTGTATTCAAAAGACACCCATTAATTTACTTTCGTCCATGAGTTTATTTTGTGTTGCATTTCATTTTATATGCGTGCTTTATTCAAGGGTTCTAGATATTGCAGACACAGTTGTGGTCAGAGCTGTAGTATTCACGCAGTCTGGCATCTATGGGCAGTGCAATACAACAATGGCTTCCTTCGATGACACGTGAATGTCAATCAGCTGGGTGACTTGCGTAAAATATTAGAGATGGTAACCCAACATAAGTCGATTGAGGTCAAGGTAACAACTTTTGTTGAGAACTGTTGTTTCTTTACTTCCAGGGGGGAAGTACTACCACCCTTAACTTACTTCAACTAAAGCGGTTCAGTCAGTTCCAATGAGATGCTGAATGAATTTAAGAAGTTGGGATATCTTCCTCGCCAGCGATTGATTAGCAGTGCTTCCCAAACTTGTCGGGACCGCTACCCATCCACACGAAAGTTGTAAGATTCATACGACAATCAGGACCCACCCAAAATCTACCCGCGACCCACCAGTGAGTCGCGACCCGCACTTCAGAAAATACTGGATTAGAGTATCTTCCGTGTAATGATGTCTAGGTCATTAAACCGTCAAGGAGTCTTTTCTCCGAAACGTGAACTGTCGAATGAAATAATGAAAATGTTTACCTATAGCTAATCATACGGCCTGAATACGTTGATTAACTGAGCAAGAAATCACTTTAAGATATTTGAGCGAAGGACCAAATCAAAAACATTAAACCAATTTAATTTGAATACCAAGTTTAATAAGATTAAAATTAAGATGGGTATGCACTCATATCAAGGTATTACCTATAGTAAAGACTCTACCCCGACTCTAATTTGAAAACATTAGCACTGGTGTCCAGAAACAACTTGGGATACCCTTGACTTTCGGAACTAGTTTACATAAATTTGCTTTTATTGTACCTCCTATTAACAATGTTCAGTTCGTCGGTGGAGCTCCCAAAGAAGTCGACGTAACCAGTTGATAATACTTTCACCAGTTAGTCTCCCAGGAATCGATAGGTATAGTCAAAACCTTGGTCGAAGCAAGTGAGTTACAGGGAAACCTATGTGGGTCAGATGGTAATCACAGAAGATGTTGGGTAATTGGGTAGACCGTACAAAGTTTGTTTATTATAAGTGTTTTAAGTTACTCCTCCCAAATAAGCGTTTTATTTTTCTTTCATAAAGAAAATGTTGAACAACAGTCTATCCCTTGGAAAAAATATTTAAACTGTGTAAACTGCGTTATTTCGTTCATAAGCCAAGAAATGAATTCTATTATTCAATATGCAGATCTTAATGATCTTATGACTTATCGACTGATGTGTGCTGTGTTGATTTCGATAACGAGGTCATATCGATAGCTGGTGTGCGCAGTAAGCATATCACGAGCTCCATTACCTATTGATCTGGCAACGCTGCGCCATATCAGCTGTTTTGCCGGCCCGGTTTTTTGTCGAATGTTTTCGTAACGCTCTTTTAAGTGTAGTTTAATTGGTCTAAGTGAAAAACACTCGGTGATTTGATTCAGCTGTCATGTGGACAAGAACGCAATGCCTTTGGCGCAATGTGGGTCGTTTGGGACGCCGCCAATTGTGCGCCACGAGTGTTTTGCAGGCGAGGATCTTTGCAGATCGCGAGAATCAATACGCCCACAGCATCCTAATGGATTCCCTTAAGCCCTACAAAATCCTGCGCCCCAGAGAATCCTCTTGTCTGGATCTGCCCGCCTCAGAGAGCTTTATGCGTCCCCAGGACGATGCCAGTCCCGCCGATCTCTACGAAAGCTTCCTGGGCCTCGTGAGCCACAGCATCCGAATGGAGCTGCAGATCAGTGATGCCCGCTACGACGCCTTTGCCCGCTGCTTCTGCGAGCAGCTGCATCGCCTCACCGACGAACAGCTCCTGGGATCGCTAAGTGCCTTAGCCGAGCTGCCGGCACCGGAATCGCCTAAAACGCGCAACTACATGGAACTGTGGAACACCCTGGACATCGAGTGCTGCCGGCGCATTGACCGTTGGTCCACCGAGCAGCTACTGCTCGTGAGCGACGCCTGGTACCGCCTGGGTCTGGTCAGGATCGGGGAGTACGTGTGGCTGGCCCTCAAGAAGATCGGACGCAAAGTGCGCAAACTGCCGCCAGAGCAGCTGGTCCACACCATGTTCCTGTGCAACCTGCTGCGCCGACCCGTCTTCGAAATGTTCGACTTCGAACTGAATCTGGCGCGCTGCGTAGACCAAATGACCCTGGCCGAACTGGGCGTGATGGCCATGGGTTTCTTCAAGACGCAAACGCCGATCAGAAATCCGGAGCTGCTGGCGCAGATCTACCAGCGGCTGGGCGACGAGCTGGACACCGTGGAGGACATCCCCCTGGTGGCGCTGCTCAAGGTGCTGCGGTACAGCAGCAAGTTGCCGCAAGTGGAGCCGCTCAAGCAGCTGCTCCGTGGCTTGGAGTCGCAGGTGGAGCGCGTCTCGCTGCTCGCCTGCCTGCACATCGCGCTACTGGGCTGCGAACTGCAGACATGCAATGACACCCTGGTGGAACGCATACTGCTGCGCTTCGAGCGGGAGTTGGACACCGCACGGCTGAAGGATGTGGAGCGCATATGCCTGGTGATGGCCCTCTTTAATCTGAGCACAGAGTCGGGAGTGGAGCGTCGCTTGGCGGACCGGCTGCCCGATTTGCTGCGCCAGCGGATGGAGGAGATCCTGCGGCACCCGCGCTGCTTTACCAACTGCCTGCAGTTCCTCACCATGCGCGGCGTTTACGACCTGGAGCTGCTTGGCGTGGCGCTGGAGCCGCGCTTCGTGCAGCACGCCTACCGCAGCGGGTTGCCCGGCCGGGAGTACTTCCACCTAGACGGGTTCGCTCGACTCCTAGGTCCGCAGGAGTACCAGGGCGCACTGCTGAGCGATCGACAGCGCCAGCAGATGGGTCGCCTCTACACCCATTACATCCCCGATCGGGATGGCCGCTTCAAGTTGAACAGCACCGATCGCATTCTGGTGGAAATAAAGGATGCCGTATCGCTAATCCATCGTCCCGTGAGCTTCAAGCACATCCTGCCGCAGTACGAACGGTGCGACGTGGTGCTCTGCTACGACCACCGCCAGCGGAGAGCGTTGCCCGTGGACACGGAGGCGTGCCAGGATTACAGCGGGGAGATCCTCACACGCAGGCACCTACTTGGCGAAAAAGAGCGGCGGACGAACAGGTGGCCACTGTGGCTGTCGTAATTGCGGGCTGGAACAACGTGATCCGCGACAAGGAGCGGTTCACCGGCCAAATGGAGATGAAGCTAAAGCAGCTCCAGCAACTGGGACATCAGCCTCTGGTGGTGAGTGCTGTCTTTATTAATTTATAAAAGTCCAAATGCAATTAAAATAGATTTCGGCTAAAAGAAAGTAAGATGCAAATCAGTTGTTGTGAAAATTTTAAAATTTATGTGCTTGTTAATTATTAAAAGAAAGAATTTCTTTCTTTTCTCTCTTCGCTAAATTTAATTCAACAAAAAAAAAAACCAAAGCACAGGTTTCGTTCATTAGCCTCCCCTTATATTAAATAATTTTTGGGTTTGTTTTTGAACTAGTTATCTATTTATTGGCAAACCTCAAAGATATGTGTTTTCAATTAAAAAAAAAAAATTATATTTAATGCAATGTTCTGCAGATCTATTGGCACGAGTGGCGGGAGCTGGAAAACTCTGCAGACCGCCAAGATTTCCTCAGACGTCGCCTTAGCCAAGTGGCCAAGATTTAGGACACCATCAGCAACCAACGACGAACTCAGCAGGAAAGACGAACTCAGAAGAGCAGAAGGCAAAGAACTAACCCAAACGGAATGAAAAACGGCAACAGATTGGATATTAGTCAGTCATTAGCATTATCGGGACATTGTACAGGCACAACACTACGATCTAGCAATTATCTAGAAAAAAAGGAATAATTATCGAATATTTAATAATGACCGCCCGCGGCCACGCGCCATTAAGCCCACAACTACTAGCACAGCGTCTCGCGCACAGAAGCGTCTCCTTAGAAGCGGACCGTTTCCGTTCCCGCTCCCGCTCCCGCTCATCTGCTCATCCGCTCACTTCGCTGTATAAGCGGGCTGGCCGTCAGAGGGTGGCGTGCAGCGCGCGCTTGGTGTACTCGTAGACCACGAACAGGGTGGCCGTTGCCGGAATGGTGCGCAGGACAGATGGGAGTAGGCCGCGGTAGAGGGCCAGGACGCCCTCGCGCCGAACGATGTCCGCTCCCACGGCGAACATGCTCTCGTTGAGGTTCTTCACCTGGATGCGACTCTTGATCACGTCCGCCGGAAACGTCGAGGTCCACAGACAGACGCCGCCGACGGCACCGGCGATCATAGTCCGCACCGGTCCGATTTCGTCCTTGGTTTGATCCTCTCTGAGGGAAAGATAGAAATCAGTTGCCTTAAAGGAATGCTGCTTAAAGAACTCAAAGTGAAAAGCTACCTCGAACTGCCAAAGTTTAGACCGAGTTATTGAAGTGGTTATGTTTATGTTAATCTTATAAGGATTTCCTGTTACTGAAGCTGTACAAGTTTGACTACAATTGTATTCTAGTTGCCTTTTTTTTCGAAAGGACTCCTAATTGCTAAGCATGGTAAAAATTTGTTGACAATTAAACGATCCAAATGGTTTGAGACTTGTCTTCCTTTAATATTTTAGCTAATAATTTTGGTTACCAATTTTTAAGTTAAACTTGCAAAATATAAAAGAACTGCCAAATTCTAAAAATGAGACTTTTTATATATTGGTCATCGGTGTACATTTAAATAATTGTTTACTTTAATAACTCTATACTTGACTTCACTAATATGTAAAACCAATTTCAACAACTAAGAAATGGGGCAAAAACTGTATTTAACTTTCATTTCTTTACAAAAGGTTATCTATATTTTTTTTTTGTATAGGTAAGAATCCTATTTCTTATATATGTAGTATCCATTTGCAAACTAGAGTCGTACTCACCTGCGTAGTAATTCGCGAGTGCCCTCGTAGCTGCCGAAAAAGAAGAAGTAGCCGGGCATCTCGCGCAGAAAAGTTGAACTCAATCCCCGATAGAATCCCCGAATGCCTGCGAAGGAGATAAATTCAAGGGTCAGTGAAGAGCGAGCAAATAGCAGGCGAGGAAGTGCAGATTGGCACGTGAGGAAGGGGCAATCTTGGAGTGGTTGGACATCAATCAAAAGCGAAACGGAAACGTGCTCACGATCTGCCGACTTGAGGCTGTCAATCGCGGAGCGCTTCAGTAAATTTCCACTTGACTGATAGTGGCTAACCCATGTGCATTATCCACGACTGCACTTCCCGCTCCCCATTTCCCGATTCCGTCCTATATGCATATAGCTCAATAGCTATCTCTTTCCAACCCGTGCTACTACGTCATTATGCGTGGCATGTTCCCAACGGCGAGGCTATGGCTATGAATAGTCTTATCAGTTTTCATAGTAATCCCTAATTCGCTTTTCGCAATCTGCGTAGTAAATACTCATTATTTATGCTTAGAAAAACTTCGGAGGAATGGCAGCCTTCTCATGTTCGATTAGATTTGATTACCTCCGACTTATTACAAAAATCATCACTTGACTGCCATTTTATAGCCTTAGCTGCTTTTCTATGGCCTATTCTTCCTGTTATTGTTGAATGCCTTTTAGTGTCAACATGGCACGCGGTTACCAATGATTTATTGATTTATTTATTTAAAGTGTGGCGTTTCAAAATAGGTAGAAATAGGAACAGAATCTCAACTATTTTTTACTGAATTATTTTGAAAACATTTGAGCAACAAGTTTAAAAATCATCCCTTAGACATGTGCGCGTTTATTTTTAAAGTAATTTATAAAATTGTTGATTTTTATGAGCACTGATTAAGTCTCAGACAAATCCGCTCATAAAAGGTTTTTATTTCCTTAATTTGTGTCAGCAGACTAGTTTCAAAGTTTTGAGATTTGATTCTGTTTTTATGGCTTAACCCAGGAATTGTTTGTTGTAAAATGAAGTTAAACAAAATACACGTATAAATTTTAGTTGCTAAAGAATCATTTCGCTAAAATAATTTTATTTTTCTTCTTGGTGAATAATTTTAGTTTCAATAAAACCTGAAACATGAACTTATAAAGATCAACTTGTGTTGTTTCTTTTTTTTTTTTTGGGAAGATTGCCACTTTTGCACATTTTCCGTTCGTATAGCAACAATTTATTTCACGATCGCATTACAATCATAAAGTAATTTAAGTCAATTAACTTTGAGAGCCAAGTATGTGCTGGTGATAACAAAGTTTTGTAATTCAATCAGCGGATTCAGAATACTTTGAATATAAAAAGTGAATTCAAGAAATCGTTGCTTAACTATTTGTGCCAACAGTTTGTAATTTAACGTTAGATTAAAAGGTTAAATCGGTTGCAACTATAACTTGAGCATTTAGGTTTTATCAAAAATATTAAAAATATAATTTAAGTTTAACTGATTCGTTGCCCAATCGATGCCGGAGATCCCCAAACGGATCCGGCAACCCCAAGTGCTCCCCAACCATGTGGAACTTTTTCCCTGTGTGCGTGCGATGCGTATCTGTGTTTATATCGCACTCGGCGATGCGATAATTGTGAATTATTAGAAAAAAAGATCGCCGAAAGCTACGCGGAGATAATCTAATCGCAGCACTTGAGGATCGAAAACACCAAAATCGCTCCCGGTTCCCCAAGGCTACGCCCCCAAAAGAAAAGAAGGGGCAGAAAGGGGGGTGGTGTCATTCAGGGAAAAAATTAATGTGTCAATAGGTTTAAATAATTTAGGTATTTAATTATTATTTACTACAGTGCACATTCTCATTAGTGAACAAAAAGTAAAAGATAAGACAATATTAAGTGTTGTTTAATTAATGAATTTTAAGAGACGTTCGTTTAAAGTGACGTATGTTTCAAAAGCTTCAAACTGTAACGGCAAACATAAGTTGTTTAAATATTCTGATATTATGCTCGCTTAAAATTATTATTTGCTTCGAAAAAAGCTGACTTGGTTTAAAAAATTAAATTTTTAGGAGATATGTACTTTTAAATAAGTTGGAAAGATCATGTCTGATATTGTTGAGAGGCTTGGCCTCCTAATACAAAAACCCCACTTAATAAGAATTATTGTTTTTGTTTATGAAAATAAACGAGAAGTAGTCGAAAGCACTCACCCTCCGTTCGCCAGATGTACCGCGTGAGTGACCAGGGCGTGCGCATGTCCTCCGGATGGGCGGGCTCGACGAAGTGCTTCATCTCGCGCAGCGCCTGCAGCTTGCACTTGATCAGCTCGGTGGGGCAGAGGGTGAGGGTGGAGAAGCAGGCGGCCAGGGAGCCGGCGCAGGCGTTCTCAACGGTGGTCAGCTCGCTGGACGTCTCCTTGCCGACGACAAAGGTGACGAACTTCTGGCAGCCACCATAGGCGGCAAACAAAACCGAATTCTCGGCCACATTGGCAAAGACGGCCGGAACGGAACCGGCGTACAGGCCGCGGAGCAGTCCATCCTTCCGGTACGTGCTCAGAAAGCAGTCCCACATGCCTTTGTAGACCTCCGGGAACGTTTGCAGCTTGACCTTGACCGTGTCCAGGGGCTGCGACACGTACACCTGGGCGGCCCCACCGAGGGAACCCGCCAGGAAGTCGATCAGCCCCTCGACGAAGTTGATGTTGTTGCCGGTGCCGCCGCCGTGCATGTCTAGGCGTCGAACGAAACGCAGGAAACCGCCGACCACATACAGCAGACCGTCGCGTACGGCCCTCAGCGTCGATTTCAGACTGATCGGCCTGCTCAGCCAGCGCTTCAGTTTGCCGCTGGCGCCGCCGCCGCCGCTGTTCTCTCCGTCGCCGTTCTCGCTGTCTTCTTGCGCCTGCTGTGTTGGTGGAGGTGGGGGTTTGGTGGAGAGAAAGGTGGCAGGGTTGTCAGCGCTTGGTTACACATCGATCGCGAGGCCGTGTTCCCGTTTTCACATTCGAGGTTGGGAGAAACAATTGTGAAAGTGGAAGGCGGCATAGCTTATTACAATCAAAATTACAGTGAACTAAAAAAAAAATTTTAACTGATGATCTGTGATCTACTTTTAACCTCCTTAATTTTTGCATAAAATTTAAAACAAATCAGAGCAAATCCTTACCACAGAAATTGCAGATTCCTGATTTTTACAAATATTCTAGCTGTAGGATAATGATTGGATGTATATATTACTTTTGGAAAAAAGTGACTACCTTTACTAACAAAAATTAATAAAACATGAAAGTGAAAGATATTTTGTTAAGCTTAATTTTTTTAAGTCCAATAAATAGGTTTGTGTTAAGCTTATTTTTTGAAACTGGACTTCCCCTCTTAACGTCACTGAAATAATGATTTCAGCAATAAAAAGCACTATAATTCTTATCAATACCGTTAAAAGTGATCATTGCGATAATTAAACTGCGCTAAAAGTATCGATATCTTTTGTGTTTTTTTTTTCGATCTCGACAACTCTACCTTGAGAGCGCGCTCGTAGGCCTCGATGATTTCGTCGGGCGTCATTATCAGCACGCTGCTGCCCGCTTGACTGCTGCCGATCCGCGGGGGCGGCGGTGGGATGGGCGTGGCCTTCTGCTGTTCGTCATCGCTTGGAGGCTGAAGCAGGGACTGGGACGGTGGCGCTTCGGGCGGCGGCGGAGTCGTCGTCGAACGGCGCTGTTTGATCGCCTTTAAAGGGGGCGGGGGTGACGGCGGTAGCGGCAGCGGTAGCGGAAGCGGTTCGATTTCTGCCGGCTGCTGCTCCTGCTGCTGCTGACCGCTAAATTCGCCATTATCGCTGTTGCTGCTCCCGTTATTGCTGTGCGCTTTTGCGCTGGCGCTGTCCCGCTCGCTCTCGCGCATGGGAACGAGGGATCGAGGATGTGGGGAACGCGATGGGGCGATGAATGCGCGGATTTTGCTGTCCCTGTTTAACCCTTGGCGATCGAGTTCCGGGGGGAAAACGGCAATTTTGTGGTTTTTTGTGTTTGTAGATTGTTGATAAAAAGCCAAGTTGTTTGTTTATTTTTTGTTTCCTTTCAAATAATTGTTCGATTTACGGTTTATTAATAATCGATAATTTGATTACGCCATATGCATATATAGGTGTATACATACCATGTGGATCAGCGATCTCTTTCTCTCTGTGTTCGTGTGTGTGTGTCTGTGTGTGTGTTAGTGTATTTGTTTTAATATTTATTATCATGGGTTTTTGGTATGTGGTGTATATCTCGTTCATTATCATATGGTATTTCCTCTCCCTTATCGCCTTCTTGCGCTCTTATATAAATTTAATAATTTACATTAAATCATAACTTAGTTATACAAATACCATTTAGTACAAGTATGGATAGTTTAAATCGATATATAGCTCCTATGCCGTACTGGATACGCATTATTTATAATATAATAGTACAAAAAAAAGACTTCGAAGTTTCGAACTCATTCCGTTGAGTGTTAAGATGCTTGAGCTAATTTCCTGATCGGTCGCGTATGTCTATATCTGCTTTACATATATAGTGTGCATCGGTTGGTGCCTTTGGATCGCTGAGTTTGCATACGCAGTTTTTTTTGTATTTATTTCTTTTTTTTTGGGGGGGAAAGCCGAAGAAGGGGATTGGTTTATAGGAAAGCCGAATTTGGAGAGTCTCCGTCCTCTTCTAACACTTTGTACTCGTTTATATGCATTTATTTTCACTTGGTGTAAAAATATTATTATCAACATCGTTTCCTATATCATTTACTTTTTTTTGTCCAAACTCAGCGGCGAATTTGCGCTTAAAAAATGTTCGCATCAGGCTTATGTTTTTATCTTTCTCTATGCTCTCTGTCGCATTCATTTTTGTTGTTTTCCGTACATATATATATTTATATTATAATTATGCTTCCTATACAACTATACATATTTAATATTATTGTGTACAAATACAAAATCGGCTTGCAAGCCGAATGTCGAATGTCAGAGAAGCAAATTAAAATTTACACTTAGACGTATTGGCACACATTTCGAAAACAAAATTCGAGCGAATCAGCAGCGCGTCACATTAATATAGTTTCTTTCAGATGATTCAGTAAATCGTTTAAAATGCAAATTTTTATTTGACTAGAAAATAATATTCTTGATTAACTGGGAGTTCACATTTCCAAAGAATCGATGTTGAAGGTGGATAAGTTTTGAACAAAACTAAAAGATTTTCGTTTAATGTGTTTGATGATTGATTGCAAAATAAACCCAACTATAATTTATTTAGTTTACTAAATGTTGCGTAATGATATCTGACATAACCTTTAATAAACAAAATGATGAGACTAAGACCTCCCAAAAGCTGTTGAAAAGTATGCTACGATTTAACATAATTTTGGAAGAATCCTTTCTAAACAGCATAAAACAGCATTCTATTTTCACATCGTACCTTAAAACAAATTCTAAAGAGGTTTCAGATCTCGAATGTTTTTTATTTTACAAAGTATCCGATACTTTTTGTGTTGCACAGCATCAAAAGGAAATTCTTTGGAATATGCATCAACTCAATAAGGGTGGAAGGGAACTAAACTTCAAATTAGACTACTCGACTTCACTGCCGCTCTTCAGGATGTCCGTCCCTGGGATGCCTCAAGGTGGAGCTCCCCTGCACCACCACTTGCCCCTCCATTTTAATAGTAGGCGGGGAAGGGATGGTAGTTCGACGGATTGGAGGCATGGTGGTTCGCAGACGGCAGGACTGGCGGCGGCCTCACGCCCGGATGATAGTTGCTGGACGCCACCTGGTGATAGGCGCCAAAGCTCCTGGCCATGTGGCGATTCTGTGCCGCCGCCGCCGCCGATTCGCCGAGGAGTCGCGACTGGTCCGCCGTGCCGAGCAGCCGGTTGTTCTGCTCCATCAGCAGATGGGCGGTGGGGTCCACCAGCAGGCGGTGCTGGTCGGCGGCGTTCGAGGCGGCGAGGATGCGGTGCTGCTCCACCGTCGAGAGCAGCCGGTGGTGCTCCAGGCTCTCGCGACTCTGGTGCTGCATCTGCGAGGAGAGGAACGATCGGTTGTTGCCCACCGCCATGTTGGCCGTGTTCGGAGTGAGGTCCAGCGAGGCCATCCGCAGCATGTCGTGGTGCGTCGGGTGGTTGTACGGCAGCTGAGGCGGCGACGAAACCACATAGTTGGCGGTGCGACTGAGGTCCACCGAGGTGGTCTGGTCGTGCTCCTGCTCGCCCAGCTGCTCACTCAGCATGTTGTGCATGGCGGCCGCCGACTGCTGGTGCTGCTGCATCGCGTGGTGCTGCCCGTGGCCGTGCTCCTGCTGGTGCACCACCGAGGCGGCCCCCCCGCCCGCTCCGCCGCCCACCACCGCTCCGCCGGCGCCCGCCTGCTGCGCCTGCTGGCTCTGCTGCTCGCGGTCGGAGAGGATGTCGTAGATGTGGTGGTGGTACCTGCTGCTCGGCAGCTGGAAGTTGTGGTGGTAGTTGCTGCTCGCCGCATTCGACCGGGAGCTCATGTCCAGGCCCTGCAGGTCGGACAGGTCGTTGGCCGCACTCGCCGCCGCTGCCGCCGCCGCCGCTGCTGCGCTGGCCGCCGCATTGCCGCCGTTGCCGCCGCCGCCGCCCGCCTGGCGGTACTCCGCCGGCGAGTCCAGCTCCTGGCTGTTGTACTTCAGGTTGCTCGCCATGCTCTCGTACTTGGAGTACATCAGGTCGATCTGCGACTGCGGGAACTTCATGCGCATGTCCTGCCCGGCGCTGCTGCAAGTAAGTAAGCAAGTTAATCATACAGATTAGCTGGAATTCGTTTAAGTTAACATATTTAATCCGTTCTTGACGGAAATCTTCAGAAAGTATGCTTTAAAAAATGGTGCTTTCCATTTGATGTCCCAATTGGTTGAACAAACTTGAAATTAAAAATTAAAAATACATATATAATACATATAATAATAATATATAATCAAATAAGACAAATAAATATTAAAATTTAATAATATTAATTTAATAAAAAATTTAATGAAATTAGAAATTTAATACAAGAATAACAAATTATAGTACACAAACGATAAAACTATCAAGAATTAAAAAAAAATACGTTAGTATGTTTATCTTGCGTCCGATTCAAAGCAAGTAATAATTCATAACAAATTGAATTAATCATTTGACTTTGAACACACTTATCCGCTGAGTAATTAATTAAAAATTATTCCAACAAAAAAGCATACATTTAAGATTCCCAGAAGAGTTGAAAACATACAGAAATCATTGCTAAATCAAACAGAAAAAAGAAATCCTTCAATCCTTCCATCCGCATTCATCGCTTGGTGGATGCATCACCTGTTCTGCGGCATGATGCTGTTCTCCTCGTCGCTGGACATCTGGTTGTGCCGCGAGATGTTCTGCCGCTGGCGCTCCTGGTGCTCCTGCTCCTGGACCGCCCGCTTGTGTCGCATCATGTCCCCGTTGAAGTTGTAGCGCGGGATGCTCGGCGAGGAGGCCGGCGAGATGAGCTCGTGCTCCGGATAGGTGCTGCCCACGCTGGAGGCGTTCCTCCTCTGCGGCTGGAGGGCGGGCAGCGGCGAGGAGGCGGACATGCTGTTCGCCCCACCACCGCCACCGCCTCCTCCGCCGCCGCCGCCGCCGCTGGAGCTGCCCGCCGGCGTGCTGTTCGATCCGGGACCGCCGCCTCCGTTTCCGGCGCCAAACATTCCGCCGTAATCGCGACCCGGCGAAATCGGCGGCGGGGACGGCGGGGTTCGGTGGTGCGACGAGGAGAACCCATCGGAGTCCGGATGCTGCGGACGCGGCGTGCTGCCCGCATCCACGTCCACGTCGTTCTGGTTCTGGTTGCTCTGCGGATTCGTCGGCGTGGAGGCGTTCGGCGATATGTTGCAGGCACCCTGGAACATCGGCAGCGGTGGGATCTGCATCGGGAAGCTGCCCAGGTTCTTCATCATCTTCAGCTCGTTCTCCAGGTTGTCCATCGCTCCGCCGATCCCCGTTCCGTTCGCTCCGCCCGAGGATCCGCCGCCGCTGCTTCCTCCCCCGCCTCCTCCACCGCCGCCGCCGCCTCCCGCTCCTCCTCCTCCGCCGGCGCTGCCCGCTCCAAAGCGCTGCGACTCCGGATCGACGTGTGCGCTCATCGGACTATCGCTGTTTATGTGGTTATCGGTGGGAACCTGCAGAATAGCGATAACATAGCGATAACACATGGTTAATAATGGTGAAACCCCGAAGATATTGTTTAATGATTATGAGAAAGCCTACAGCAAACATCATTTCTCTACTTTATGGGGTCTGAAGTGTCTCCTTCACTGCGTAGCAGACTTCTGACTGAAATTATAATACCCTTTTGCTCTGCAAGGGTATAAAAATGAACACTAGTTCCTATTGCAAACAAGTTTTTTTTGCAGTGTATCACAACATAGTGAATTGAGTTGAGAAGTGCACTCACCTTGAGGTCGCTGCTCTCGCTGTCAATCATATTGCCAACGGAGTTGAGGGCCGCCTCCACGAGCATGCTGGCCGACGAAGAGCCGCCGCCCACGCCCACTCCCACCCCGCCGCCCACGCCGCCCACTCCGCGGGCATTGGCGTTGTTGTAGAAGGAGCTCATGAACGACTGCGAGTGGGCGAGCGAGTTCATCTGCATCTGCGGCTCATCGCCGCCGCCGGCTGTCGTTCCGCCCGTCGCCGGGCCCGTTGGCGTTTGTCCGCCGCTTCCGCCGCCGCCGCCTCCGCTGCCGCTGGCCCCGCCCCCTCCGCCACCGCCGCCCGCTCCGCCTCCGTAGTGGGACATGGCCGCTGCTGCGGCGGCGGCGGCTGCAGCGGCGGCGGCATTGTTGTTCGACTCGACGACGTCCAGGAAGGAGCTGTTCTCGTCCTCCTCGCGACTGTGGGCGCTGTGCTGGTGGGCGTGGACGTGCGGCTGGTGGGCGTGGGCATGGGCATGGGCGTGGGCGTGGGCATGGGCGTGGCTGGCGCTGGCGCTGCTCATCAGGCGGGCAAGGAAGTCGCGATTCTGGCCGAGCAGCTTGCTGTGCTCATCGACTGCGCTCGGCGGCACAGCGAAGCCCAGATCCGCTCCAGGACCAGAGCCACCTGCCAGTTGGCCACAGGCTCCGCCGCCTCCTCCGCCGTCTCCTCCGCTGTCGCCGGGACCACCGCCACCGCCACCCGGTCCATCGCCACCCACGTCGCTGGAGTCCTGCACCTCCTGTATCCACTTCTTGCTGCCCTTGCTGACCACCAGATTCTGGCCGAGAGCGGCGTTCATTGCGGCCGCATGGCGGTAGTCCTGCTGCCCCGCCCCCTGGGCGGCGGGATGCTGGTGCGGGTGGGCGTGCGCGTGCGAATGCGAGTGGGCGTGGTGCGGGTGGGCGTGCGCATGAACGTGCGAATGGTGCGCCTGGTGGGCATGGACATGCGGATGGTGTTGCACGGAGGATCCGCCACCGCCGCCGCCGCCACCGCCGCCCGCTCCACCGCCGTCCTCGTCGTCCTCGTCGTCGTCCTCCTCCTCGTCCATGCCCACGCCCACGCCCACACCCATGTGGCCCATCATGTGGCCCAGCTTGGCGGGATCCTCGCCAGCGCCGGCCATCGCGGAAACCGCCGCCGCCGCCGCCACCACCTGTTGCACCTGCTGCTGGGCACTCAGCCGCTGGGCGGTGGTGGTCAGGAAGGACTCGACGAGGCTCAGCTGGGCGTTCTGCTTGCGGCGCACCTGCTCCAGGCGGGCGTTCTCCACCTCCTCGTCGTCGGGATCGCCGCCGTGCAGCTGCTGCTGTTGCTGCTGCTGCTGTTGTTGCTGCTGCTGTTGCTGCTGTTGCTGCTGCTGCTGCTGGTGCGGCAGCGCGTGGGCGTGCAGCTGGTGGGCGTGGTACTGCGGATGCTGCTGCTGCGGATCGTGGTGCAGCTGCTGGTGTTGCTGGTGGTGGTGGTGGTGCTGCTGCTGTTGGTGTTGCTGCTGCTGCTGCAGCTGCTGGTGTTGCAGGTGGTGCTGCTGCTGCTGCTGTTGCTGCTGGTGTTGCTGGTGGTGCTGCTGCTGCTGCTGTTGCTGCTGCTGCTGCTGGTGGTGCTGCTGCTGCTGCAGGTGGTGGTGCTGCTGCTGGACCGAACCGGGTCCGCCCGGCTCCTTCTTGCGCTTCCGCTTGCGACCGCCGGCGGCGCCGCCGGCCGCCGACATGGAGGCGGAGTGAGCGGAGGCGCTGGCCACCGAGGGCACCTTGTCGCCGAAGATGCTGGAGATCTTGGAGCTGAGCAGCGAGAGGTTCGGCTCGTTGCGGCAGAGGTCCTTGATCGACTTGCCGCTCTTCTTGATCGCCTCGAACAGGTTGTCGTCGCTGAACTCGGCGTCGCTCTGCAGCGAGCCGCTCAGCATGGAGCTCTGGTCCTCGAGGCTCTTGCGCCGCCGGCGCGGTGCTTGCTCTGTGAACGAGGAGGGGGAGACGACGGCCGCATTAGGGCGTGGCGCCGCTGGCGGTGGCGGCAGTGGCTGTGCCGTAGCCGTCGCCGTCTGCTTACCCAGAAAGTCCACCTTCATGCCGCCGGAGTAGGCGTCGAAGGTGTAGGCCACGCTCCGCTCGATCTTCGGCATCTGCTCCTGGGTGTAGTTGTGCACCTTCTTGTAGTGGAACTGCAGGCACTGCTTGGTGGTGAACGCCGCATTGCACTCCGGTTCGGCGCATCTGTAAAGCAATCATTCACCATTAAATACGATATGGATAAAGGAGTGATAGGAGAAACCCACTTGAACGGCCTGACGCCCGAGTGGGTCAGCATGTGGATCTTGAGATTGCTGCGGTTCTGGAAGAGTTTCTGGCAGCGCGGACAGCTCACCACCGTCGAGTTGCGGCTGTGCACCTCCTTCGAGTGGCGCTGCAGTGCCGCTCGCGATCCTAGAAGTTTTGAACATAATTTACACTGAAAATCTCGTAAAACTTCAGCCATATCTAAAATGAAATTGTATGAAGAAAATGAAATTTCGGATTGTGGTGATTTTGAAAGAACAACTTAGTGATAATCCATAACCATAAAACCAACCCAACAACGAACGAACCAACGAACGAACGAACCAACCAACGAACGAACAACGAACATAAAACGAAAGCCGGATCACAAAGGCTCGGTTCACAGGATCATCGGTTTCGGGGGATTGCTTTCGAGGATCGGGGAGTACTCTATGAACCAATGACCCAACAAACTAAACACGAACCAAGGCAAATCATTCACTAAAAGCGGTTACACAAGGCAGACTACGATCTTGGCTAGTACTCAATATGCACTGTCACTGAAGGACTGTTATACTAATTAACTCTTTAAAGTCTTTTAAAAAAAGTTTTATTAACTTGACTAATAGTTAAAGAAAAGTTAAAAAATTGCTCAAAAAATCGAACTCTTTTGAAGCATAATAATGAAATGGTTAGTACCTTCAATGTGGAACAGAATTGGACAAGTAAAATAAATAGTTTTTTTTTTTTTGTCAAAATGTCCCATTTCTTACACTGAAAAATTGTATTATTTTTTTTTATGATCGATATTATCTTATTCAAAAAAATTGCTAAAATTATCCTTTACCATTAATGGTTCCCTATAATTTTAAATTTAAGATAGCTGAAACAGTTTTTGGTTCTTAGTCACTTCAGTGCGTTTCTAAGAGTGTGAATGTCATACGATATTCCAATACTTTACCATAGCATATACAAACAGAACACAAACTTTAAGAAACCAAGGATGGATTAGTAAAGTATAGTTTTAAACCAATTAAGGCGGTGTACAACTAAAGATTGGCAACCAAAGAGAGATGAGCGATCGCAGATGCTTTAGTGTTACATATATAATATATAGTACCGCAGGTGTTGCTGTGGTGGTGACTTGAGGTGTGGCAGCTTACGAGTATATAGTACAGCTAAGTTTACAGCTAAGCGACTCGATACGATATTAGTACTTTATAGGACATTATTAGCGTGGGTTGTGTGGATCTATCATTTGTGTGAGTGTGTTGGTATATCGATTCAAGATCACGGTTGCCACGTAAATAAATAATACACAAATACCAACTAAGTGTTATAATTGAAATATTTAGTTAGTTAATAAAAGAAAATTGTTTCTGAGTACCATTTAAACTAAAAGAGCATTTGGATCTAGATCAACACTGAAATAATAATTATATAACAAAATAATGCAACTAACAGACACATGATTCTGCATTCCAACAAAAAAAATTAAAAGGCATTGAAATTAATTTGGAATGAAACACAATTTATTTCAATTTGAAAATTATAATAAATTATAAAGTTTCCAAGAATAAATGCTTACATATAATCAAAAAAAAAACTTGCGAAAACTGTGATCTTAATACGATATTGGCGTGTTAAAGTACAGACGTGTTGATTTTATGCAGAAGCAGTTGGACGGCGTGCGTCGCTATACATAACGGTACATTACGACATACGGTGGCTATTTGCTATACAATTTGTACGACATTACGACTAGACACGAGCGTACGACATACGATATTACGATATGACAGTCAGCTGGCCTACGATGCGGCTACGTTATATTTATTACGATACATTACGCATACGCATGGGTGTACGATCACAATTACGTCTACGTTGTCTAGATTCACTAGGTTCACTAGGTTGTCTAGATTTTTTGGATCCCGAGCGCTGCCGGTGCTAGCAACTTACCGCTGTGCATGCGCTTGATGTGCGCCTTCAGCTTTTGCGGCTGGCAGAACTTCCTTCCGCAGAAATCGCAAACGGGTCGCGACCGATTTGGATTCGAGGCGCATCCGTAGGTGCGATGCATCTCCAGGTAGTTGAGCCGCAGGAAGAACTTGCTGCAGAACTGGCACTGGTACGCCCCCTTGCCGTCGTGCTTCTCCGCCGCGTGCTTCATGATGTTGTCCTTGCCCAGCACCGGCTCGCCGCACACCTTGCAGTGGTACTTGCGGATGGTCAGACTCATCGAGGGGTCGTGGAAGACGGAGCAGTGGGTGCGGTAGTACAGCGGGTGCTCGAACTTCAGGTTGCAGCCGCCGCAGTCTGTGTGGATGAAAAAGAAAGGTATATCATGTTTAATTATTAAATATAGTCTATGGTTTATCTAAGGCTTGGAATTCAGTAATTTCTAGAACAATACTTTAATCCCCTTTATCGGATATAATAATTTAAGGTGCTCCCATATTTTTGAATAGCAATAAATCAAGTAACACCTAAATCTTTCTCTCTTCAAACAGGTTCATCATCATCTCCACCACCCCCTTCTCTACTCACTCGTCTTCTCGGTGTGCTTCTTGCGCCACATGGTGTTGCAGTCGTCGCTCCAGTAGAGCAGCTCCATCCCGTTGCGCAGGTCGCGGCAGCTGACGAAGTACGCCTGCCGATCGATGGACACCAGGTTGACGTTGCGATCCTCGTAGCTGGGCGCCGGCCGCACGAACCGCAGCCAGTTGGAGGCGTTCGGGTTGTCGCAGCACAGCAGGTACGACTTGTCGGCGCCAGCCTCGCACATCTCGAAGATCCACTTCATGTCGCTGCCCTCGCGCACCTCGCCGGTCTGCACCGGCTGGCCGATGAGCGGACCGAGCTTGGTGAAGGCGCGCACCTCCGTTCGGGCGAACACGCCGGTCACATTCGGCTCCACGTTGTGCAGCTCGAACTCCGCCGGCACGGAGGCCTCGGCGAAGGTGATCAGCGGCTTGGTCTCCAGCTCCGACAGCTGCGAGGACTCGTCCATGTCCATGTCCATGTCCTCCATATCCTCCATGTCGTCGTCCTCGTGCCGCTGCCTGCCGCTGGCCCGCTTCGCCTGACGCTGGGCGTCCGCCTTCAGCTTGGCCAGCGCCTCCAGGTTCCGCCGCTCGATCCACTCGCCCAGATCCACGGCATCGGTCACGTTGCCGCAGGCGTTCCTCAGCGGACAGAGCTTGTGGTCGTGGGCAATGGAGCACTCGCGACAGGACTGATGCGAGCGGAAGGCGATGTCGTGCTCATCCTCCTCCTCCACGAAGTTCTGCTCCATCTTCATTTCGCGCGCGAGGGCCTCCTCGTCGAGCTCCTCGTCCTCGTCGTCGTCCTCCTCGTTCCCGGCGAGTCCTGCGCCCGGCTCGTCCTCGTGCTCGTCGTAGGAGTTGGGCGGCATCATCGCCGCCGCCGCTGCTGCCGCCTTGGCCGCTTGCGATTTCTTGGTGCCCTGCGACTTGGAGCGCACATGGAAGTTGCCCGCCTGCCCATTGCTGGCGGAGATCCCATCGACGACGTCCGAAGGCGGCAGAACGGGCAGGAGGTGCGGGTGCTGCGGCTGGTCGTCGTCCTCGTCCTCCTCCTCGCTGCCGTTCGCCGCCGCTGCTGCTGCTGCCGCCGCTGCCGCTGCCGCCGCTGCTGCCGCTGCGGCCTTCTTGAGGCACAGAGCATTTGGCAGCGACTCCTTGCTGTTGGCCTCCAGCTCGCTCTTGATCTTCTCGGCGATGCGGCAGTCGAGGACCTCCGGCAAATTGGAAGAGGCGGCCGCCGCCGCTGCCGCCGCTGCTGCTGCGCCCGCTTTCAAGGCCGCCGTTGCCGCCTTGGCCTCCTGCTTCTTGGACTTGGCGTAGGCGTAGCCACCGCCCGCTGCACTGGCTCCACTTGCTCCGCCCGCTCCGCCCTTGCCTTTGCCGGCGAAGCCGTTCAGCGCCTCCGAGCTGAACTGAACGCGCTTCTTGTACCGCTTGCGCTGCGGCGGCGTGGGCGTGGCCATCGATACGGAGGCTGCGGAGGCGGAGTCACCGTTTCCGTTTCCGCTCGCATTCCCGTTTCCGCTGCCGTTGCCGTTGATCGAGGATTCGGGTGGCGCGGCGAAGTCCTTGGCGCTGAGATTCGGTTCCAGCTTGAAGTTGCCGTCGAAGCCTTTGGTGGGCGTGTGCGCGGGAGAGGGCGGTGGCAGGCTGAAATGGAGGACGAACGGAAAGGAGATAAGTAAGTTGGTTAAAACAAGCAGTTTTTGTTTGATACTTCATTGATATTTTGTAATTAACAAGCCCGATATTTCTGTATGATTTGTAAACTATAAAATGCTTATTTAAACAAGTATTTTTTTTAAAGGATCAATTAACTATAACAATTAATTTTGCATTCGGTGGCATGAATTGCTGGGCTTTTCTAGTTTCCAGAACTATACTTTGTTTGGGTGTAAGTTGTTTCTTGCCCAAATAACAGACAAATTACCAATGGAAAAAGTTTTTGTTTTGCCCAAAACTACAAAAAATGGCTTTAAAAAACCCAGTTTTTTTGCATTATCTAAGGAAGTACTCTTCCAAATGTGGAATGGCATACATCGTTGAATTCGCAATAAAATTTCCTATCCGATGGTATAAACACCCAAAAGAGTTGAAATTTTGCCATTTTTCGCAAAAAATGACGATGTTACCCCTTATGAAAATTGCGAAAATTGGCCAAAAATCATTTTTTTTGAATCGTCCAAAAAGTGATTGGGCTCGTTAACTGTGGTCATAAGGTGCTCAAAACAGTGTTTGGTTCCGCTGTAAGTCACTTTTTGGCCTTATTACAACCAAAAAACCACTAAAAAGATTGGATTTTCTACCAAAATTGGCAACTAATCATTTCCAAATTGGTTTTTATCAACTAACTAAAGGATGGCAATAAAAAGGCTTTCAATCAAAAAGATTGTACGGCTTCTCTGGTTTCTAACACTATACTTTGTTCAGCTGTAAGTCGTTTCTTTCCCGAACAACACACAAAAATCATTTTAGAATATGAAAAAAATCGCATAATATCATTAAAAATAACTTTGTTATTTAAAATAAAAAATTGTCTCAGGGGAAAATAAATCGTATGTACACTGTACATTGTACAGTACCGTAATTCCAAACGATTTCGTTTTAATTTCGGTTTTGTTGGATACATAAATGTAACACTATTATTGTGAACAATTTTATTAGCCCTTAGCACGAGACACACAAGGGAAACAGGTTTTTAGATTTTCTGTTGAAGTATATGATTGGAGTATAATGTGTAATAATAACATAAAATAATAATAAGATATATACTTACATAAGTAATTTATTTATAATAATACAAATCATAATATAAGAATAATAGAATTTGACCTTTTTTAATATATTAAGCAACATCGAAGTAATTTATTCTATTCTATTTATTTTTCCATATTTTCACGGATTTTTCTCATGACTTTACGATATAGTGGTCCGATTTTCATGAAATTTAATTAACTTATTTATTTATATAAAATCAATGATACAAAGTTTCTTTAAGAGGTATGCCACTTTAAAATCTAATTAAAACTGGAAAAGCTATAGACTTTGAATTAGTGAATCTTGATTCATTTTCAGCAAACCCATTTTTTGGAAATTTCAAAAGGGAATGTATCATAAAAACTGAGAAAAATCGGCACAAAAAATTAAGTTCTGATAACTAATAAATTTTTGTGCTTTAACCTTATTTCAGGTCATGGCTGTGGCGCAGAACAGACAGAAGGACTGCTGCGAACTGGTCTCCCGACTCATCCGGGAAATCCCAATGGCATTACCCTAGGCAGCGAGCGGGGACACAGCGTTGGATTCGAAAATGAACAACGACTAGACGCGCATCTAAGACTAACAAGACATGGATTGTCCATAAACTTACAGCATACGGCTAGGGAATAGTATATATATAGTTATACTAATATATAATAATTATATATTATAGAATACTAATAAAAGTTATACTTAATTATGTAAAAATACAAAAAAAAAATCAAAATTAAACTAAAACTATCGAAATTGTAGCATACTTTTGGGGGCTCTCTCTTATTTGGAAAAATTTTGGATGTGTAAATTTCTATTAAAAATCGTAGCAAACTTTTGGGGGTAATTGGAAAATTGTCGGTTTTTGAATGTGTAAATTTTCCATTAAAAATTGTAGCATACTTTTGGGGCTCCCTAGTTTGGGAATTTTTTGGGTGTGTACATTTTCATTAAAAATTGGAGCATACTTTTGGGGGTAAATTGACAATTTTAGGATGTGTAAATTTTCCAATAAAAATTGTAGCATACTTTTGGGGGCAATTGGAAAATTCAAAAAATTGAACAGTCACCTTCTACTGCATTCTGTTCGCCTGGTACTTCAATATGTGTTTGGGCCAAATATTGTGGGTTTGGCTGCCCGATTTTGACGAAACCATTAAAAATTGTAGCATACTTTTGGGGGCAATTAGAAATCCTAAAAAATTAGAGCATCCACCTTCTACTGCATTCTGTTCACCTGGTACTTCAAAATGCGTTTGGGCCAAATATTGTGGGTTTGGCTGCCCGATTTTGACGAAACCAAGTGGAATTCCTAGCTTTCAAATACCAGGCCAACAGAATCCATTAGATGGTAGTTGGTAATTGGGACAATTGGGACCATTGGGACAATTGGGACCATTGAGACCATTGGGACAAGTAATAAATCCTTTTTTTTGTTTTAATTTTATTTATTCACTGGAATCTGCTCAGTGCCTTCTGAACTTAACCTAGCGTAATTTTCGAGAAACAGTTTTATGGATACAAAATAGCCTTAAATACTTAGTAACAATTAATTTAAGTTGCGAAGTAAAAAAAATAGTGAGAATCATATAAAATAGTGAGAACATATTATAAAATCCTACGAGTAGGGAGATCGGTGGGATGTAGCTTCTTCAGCCGTCGGAGAGAAATTGGCTCAGCTAGGTCACTCGCTAGCGAATTTGGATGTGTCACAATTCTGTCAGCGTAACGACTGCTGTGCAGATTGATTTGGTCCCCGATAAGTAATAGTCCAAAGTCCCTCTCGATGGCTACGTTTGTAACGCGAGCGCAGGAGCCAGTCAAGCTTTTGTAGCTTCTGCAGGCATTTGGCTTTGACTGCCGAGATGTGGGCCCGCCATACTAGCGCGGATTTAGCGCAGTTAATGGCGATATTCCATTTCGCAGTCCAGTTCTCCATAGCATGAGGCCAGACCTAAACTGCATTTGTCGCAGATTGCAGCGATGAGTGGGAGGCTAGCGTGCAGGTGTCGTCAGCATAAGTGGCCAGGAGCAGACCAGACGATGCACCTGTTCAGGGCAGCCATGGGATTTCCTGAAACCAAATTGGTGGGCCGGTATGTGATTCACTACCTGTGGTAGATCCATCAGTCGGCTAAGGAGGATGCGCTCAAAAATCTTGGAGAAGGTTGCCAGCAAATTCTTAGCTTTCAAATACCAGGCCAATATCATTTATTAGATGGCAGTTTTAATTGTGGAAATTTCCCATAAAATAGTACTTTTGGGAATAACTAAAAAATTCAAAGAGTAGCATCCTACTATGGCTTTATGTTCGCCTGGTACTTTAAAATGCGTTTGGTTCAGTTTGACGAGTGCAATTCAGACTAGAATTTTAAGTACCAGTATTCAAAGAACTTTTTATAATAAACACAGAAATTTAGAGGCATGCCACTTTAGAATTTGATCAAAATTATAAATGTTATGGACGTCAAAAGGCGATGCACAACAAGTTTTATATCACAATGATGATCAATGTATTATTTTTTTCATTCAGCATTGCAATATGCCGTCTTCGTTTACAAAAAAAGACAATTAGCCCGGTCTCCGCCGTTATTAAAAATTGTATTGCCTTTCGAATGTTGAAGCTCTGACTGTAAATTTAATAGCCCCTAGCTATGTGAAGGTATATATTTTAACACTGCAACACTGTGAAATCATTTTCGAAATTTAATTTTTCATTAAAAAATCACAGGATTTGTGTACGTGTTTTTAACTTTTGTACACAATATCCAAGGGCCTGCAAATTCAAATTTATATTAAAGAAGCTTTAAGAAAAACATATTTAAATAATAACCTATCCCCATAAAAATTTGTACTTATATGCATTAAATAACTATAGGATAGGGTTCTTTATGCAATTATTAATTTCTCCATGAAGTGAAAGATACTTGTTCCAAAAACCGGAATAAGCCAGGATACGATAGTTGGCGGGGACTTTGAAAGTGGGTCGATGGAATTTATTTATTTCTGGCCTACGGTCAGGCCTCTCTTAACCAACAACCCTCCCCTCCCTTCCACTCCCCCTCCACTCCCACTCTTTTCACCATCGCTTGCTGTCCTTGTTGTTGTCGCCTTTGCGTTTAATTAATTTTGCCTGCGTTTTGCTTGTTGTTTCGCGTGCCGCTCGAGGGGTCAAAAGATGGATGGAAGACGAAATCGGTGAAGTCTGGACCATTGCCAGGGGAAACGGCGTGGTGTGGCGACTTTGATACCCTACAAACTCCAGGCAACTTCCAAATATTGTTGCTTAGTTTTTATAATAAGTCCGGACATTAAATGGCACGGAGCAATTTTGAACAATAAGCTATAAGTACACAACTTTTTATTAAAAAAAGGGGCCTCAGCTCTGGCCATTCCCATTTGACTTGGTTAAATGGATGCATAAGACATAATTCTTAAGCAGAATTATACACCACAACATTTTTTGGTTGCACGCATAAAGTACTTGTTAATCAGCTTGATTAAAACCTTCAAGTGAAGTTTTGTTCCTCGAAAATGAAAGGCTATCAATGTCGTTTTAAAACCTGCTCTTAAAAGGAAACTTTTATATTTTTCACCACTGGTTAGCGGTTTTCCAAGCCCGGCTCTCATATTTGCCAGCAACTAGTTGTTGGTGGTTAATTCCAGAGGGTTGCCTGCTCAGAACTGCAATTTTCTGACCAAAATGGCCAACTCTTCTACAGTACCTAACTCTCCTTTTTTTTGTGGACCATGAACACCTGCATGGTGGCAATGCAACCTTTGAGTTTCCGCCGTTTGGGTTCACGTGAGGGGCATTCATCTAGAATCTAGATGTTGCACATGCCACATGGTCTCCAGCAGCCAGGCAACCCCCTCCTCTTCGCCGCCCCCCGGTTGTCTCCCCTTTCCGCTTGCCAGTGTTATCGTTCATTAAATCCTCCACCTTAGAACCATAACAACAATATCGAAAACAGCGGCAACAGCAAACGATACGATTTCCATCCAGCCGGCCTCTGACGTCCTGCCATCTCCTGCCATCCACTGCCATCCTACCATCGCGTGCCACCCCCTTGGTATCCACTTACCCTGCTCCACTTTGTCTCAACCTTCTACCCACTGGCCACCACCCACTTGCCAGAACAAACCGCCACCCACCGCGCTTCTTTGACCGCAGAGAGCGAGCATATTCCTGGTTCCAGTTCCATTTCCATCTCCATCTCCACTTCCATCTCCATCTCCACTTCCATCTCCGTCTCCACCTCCATCTATACCGCCCAAAAGCCCCATCTCCTTCCCCACTTCCATCTACGTCCTCTGACGATGGGGATTCCGCACTTAGGTCCCTGGGTTGGGTTCCTATTCTCGTGTACGCCAGTGTCTCTCTACCATTAATGTGCTGCTTGAGGGCCCAGCGGGTGGTGGTCGAGGGGGTGGTAGTAAAGGGGATGGGTGGCAACGGGCGATGGGCGTTGGGCGTTTGGCGGTGGGTGGCTTAACTCGGTTGGGCTTTCGATGTTCGAGTCGGTTCGAGGTTGGGGAGTTTTGGGATTCTGTTTCGTGTGCGGTGCTCGTTGGCGCATTAAGCACACAGCCAGCGACACAAACGAGACTCACACACAGACATACACAAAGACACTTACACACACACAAACACATACACATGCCGAGACAAATACCCATGCACGCGCACTCTCACAAAGACAATCGCACAACAATTTTGTGCTTTTTGGCGAAAATTCGCAGAAATTGGCGACATGGCGTATACGAAATGCGAATTGGCAAAAGGCAACGAAGGAAACTGCTTCGCGGGGGGCGAAGGGAGGGGTTGATGAAGGGGGGATAGACGGGGGAATGAGGGCTGGCCCAAGGGTGTTGGGCACAAGGCTGGGGGGTGAGATATTATCTATTGTGTGTGGGAAATCGCAGTGGCACAAGGATATGCGAAAGAAGAAGCTGCTGATTAGTGTGCGAGTGCGGATGGAAGGTCCTTCGACTAACCGAACAGTCGGAATAAGGATTCCCCAGCCAAATATGCTGAAATTACGGTTCTTCATATGTCTTTTGAAATTGGTATCTTATCCTTAGATTAAAATGCTTCCGAGATAAATAGATTTGTAAATGTGTTCTTGTAAAAAGAATGGAATATCCATACTTTTGATATAAAAATAAGTAAAGTTAGAATTCTGTTTCTCTTTATTGTTTTTACAATTCAACATAACTATTGTAATTGAAATTAACAATTGTTTGCTTATATCAATATTTAAATGTTAAGATCGTTCGTAGTATAAAATAAAGTATGTTAACATAGGAGTTTAGCAAACAGACGGACTCCTTTTCTTAGAAATCAAATGAAATAAAAAATGTATGGCTAAATGCAATAATAGTTTTAAATTATTGTGTGACAATATTGTTTTGAACATTGAGAAGTTAGTTGGAAATTGGTCTAGTACCACATGTGGTGCAACGTGTTCTTCGATGATCGAATCGAGGCTCCTGGTCCTAAAGGACTCGAATGCTTGTGGGAAGTGTGCTATCCTGCCAACGGCCTCCTTGTGGCATTCGCTTCGTGTGGCAGCCAATGCCAAAGGGAGGGGCCGATAAAGTGGAAGAGGTGGAAGAGGTGAAAGCGGAGAGCGAGAAGCAGAAACACAACTGAGATTCAGACATTTCTGCATTGGCATTTTGCATTTTGCATTTGGCCAAGCAGCGAGGAAGGGGAAACAGGACCCATATTCAAAGCGCCAAATGGCGCGCTCGACTGCAATGCAACAGCAAGAACAAAAAGGACGAGGCGTGGCCGGGGGCGGCTGATGAGGAAGGGGAGGGGGGAAGGGGTTCTGAGGGGAACTGAGACTGCTGGCAATGTGGGGCAAGGGAAGAAAATTCGCGACGCATTCACGTTGCAAGGATCCGAAGGAACCTCGATGGCACATGTGTGTGCGTCTGCCCTCTTCTCCTCTCTCTCTCTTTCTCTCTTTTACCTTTCTACACTGCTCAAAAGCAAATTGAGAATATCAATACATGTTGAATTTGATAAAGCGATAAGCCAATGTTTAACATCCTTTAAAAAGTTGCTAAAATTTCTATAAGATTCGAATACGAAGTATTTGCGTTGCGGAAAAGTAATAAATAGAGATATACACATATAAATGTTCTACAGATTTTGAATTATCTTGAGGTACACCCCATATAACTACTAAATTTTAGAAACCTTTTTACACCGTTATACAATTTACGAACAAATCTTTCAAAGGTTTCCTAAAATGGTTTCCACATGTTGCAGCTTAACACACAAACACCTTTTAACTATTTAATCACTTGTGGTGAGTGAAAAGCGACCAAAGTTCCTAATTGGCGAACAAAGCGGCTTTGTTCTTAAATGATTTGTGTTCTATGCACCATTTGTTCCCAGTGCAGTTTATGTGTGTGTGTAAGTGGGCGATTGGCAACATGGCATGCAAATGCAGGCGGCGGCAACAACAACAACAACAACAAGTGCAACAGCAACAACAAGGCAAACAACAACAACATCGACCATGTTGCTCGAGTTTGCGAATGTGTGCGCGTGTAAGTGTGCGTGTGCGTGTTTTGAGTGTGAGTGTGTGCGAGTGTGCGTGTGAGTGCGAATGCGAGTGTGTTGCTTTTTCCGCTTCCGCTGACATGGCGGCAGCGACTACGAGTCGAGCACAGCGGGCAACGGTTCCGACAACGGCAAGTAGGGAAAATACGGAAAATACGGCAAATACGGCAAAATACGGAATATACGGAATATATGGAATAAACGGAATATGGTCGGAATGGCGACTACGGCAGGCAGGCAGGCAGGCAGGCAGGCAACATGAAAGCTCCGTTGCATGCAACCGCATGAGTACCGCATTTGTGCCTTTGTATCGCGCGGCCAAAAAGGGGTTGATGATGGGATGCGGGGTTTTCGGGGGAGCGGCAACTGGAGGAGTGGCGGAGGGCAGGCAAGGATGCATTCGGGCATGAATCGCTTTTACATGGATCGCTTTTGTACCGCTCCCCACCGGGCTCCATCTTGTTCTTCTTTTGCCGCCTGCCGCGGCACTTGAGCCACCCTAAAAACCAGATTCCCTCTCTGCGTGTGCGTGTATTTGTGTGTGTGTGTGTCGGTTTGTGAGGTGCCCAAAAGCTCTTTAGGTGTGTGTGTGTGTGTGTGTGAGTTCATATCTGAGAACAACTATCAACAATGACGGCCAGCGAAGCGTTGCCATATCTCTCACTTCCAGCCGATTCGGCTCTTTTGTCCCCTCCTTTTGAGCCGCCTTTATGCGCTGCTTAATTAACAGAACAAGGTGGAAACAAGGAAAACAAAGCCCGACTTTTAAATAGTCGCCTCTCGTTCACTCTACACTGGAAACAGGGCCTTTCCTTCATCGCATCCTCTTCGAGTTTCACTTTTCGTGTACGTTTCGGACATAAGTTGTATTTTCGGTGACATATTGCAAGCATATGGAAACTACTGTCAAAGTTTTTCCTTGTGACACAACTTTGTAGTCCCAAAGACTTTGACCTTGTTGTTCAGCTACAAGAACTCATTGAAATGGCGTTAATGCAAGCTAAGTGGATTTAACTTCTGTATATTTCGGGTGAGAATAAAAAATCTGGCCTAAATATTTGCTTTTTGGCTATGTTTATTTTATAAACCCTAAAGCCTTGATCAGACCCCCAAGTAATCCAATAATATTATCTTTCCGTCCGTCTTTCAAGTCTTTCTTCCTATGAATAGACAAAATATTTAACCATGGTTTTGAGAAACCATACTATTCGTATTAATGACCATTATTCTAACGACATGTCTTAATGATCGACAAATTTGCCGAAATTGTAATCGACATTACTGATATGAAATGAAGACTATGCAAACTTGCTGTGCACAAGTAAATTAAAATGTAATGATTTATATTTCAATGATTTGTAAAGCCATTCTGAACAACTAATACCAATCAAAACGTTTTCGTTTAAAAGGATCTAATTACCTGTTGCACGTAACTATTTTAACAATGCTTGTATACTTTATTATGGTAATTGAGATTAAGAAACATTTTTAGAAAACATATGTGTTCCCATATTTAAAATTTTTTTTTTTAACCGTTTATTAAATATAAAAAACTATTGAAACCTATTATCGTAGTAGTAATCAGTAATGCCTTCCTCAACCTATTACTTCCTATAAATAATGGAATGGAATGAAATGCCGAAGGTACATAACACATTATAAAGGATTTGTTTTCGCAAAAATGTGTTTTAAACTAGAATTCTAAAAAATATAGGGGCAAAAGCAACAATATCATGGTGTTCTACTCACTTGTTTAGGCGATCCGTGTCGTTGTCGGCCAAGTTGAGAAGGTAGGCGACGAACTCCACGTCGTTTTTGAACTGCAGCCGGGTGCGCATGTGCTCCCACTTCTCGGCGTTCTTGGTGCCGATGTAGATGTTTTTACTGTAGTTCTGGTGGCGGTACTTGCGCCGCTCGCTCGCCGCACTGCTGCTGCCGCCACTCCCCCCCGCTTCCCCCGCTGCCGCCATGTTGCTGGTGCTGCAGTTGCTGCTGCTGCTGCTGCTGCTGTTGCTGCTGCTGCTGGTGTTGCTGCAGTGCCGCGCTGGAGGCTCCAATTCCGAGGCCCAAGGAGGAACCTCCCCGGGAGTTTCCTCCTCCGGCGGCCAGCAGATCGTTGCTGCAGTTCGTGCCCTGACCGCCCGCCCCCATGCTGCCGTGCGTCGAGCTGAGGGCGTGGTTGCTGTTGTTGTTGGTCGAGAAGCTGGTGTTGCTGTTGCCGCCCAGCAAACTACTCGGCGGTGGCGGTGCAATGGGCGTGGCCCCACTACCGCCGGCCATGTCCAAAGCACTGTTGGCGCTCTGCTGCTGCTGCTGCTCCAGCTGCGCGCTCAGCTTGGCCGCTGATGCCGCTGCCGCCGCAGCCGCCGCTGCTGCCGCCGCCGCTGCCACGGCGCTCATGTGGAGACCGCTGCTCTCGGCGGCAGCAGCGCTGTTCAAGTGGGCGGAGGAGAGGGTGGCGCGGCTGTCCAAGTGGCTGCTGGCCACCTCGTCCTCCTCGTCGTCCTCGTCCTCCTCCTCCTCGCCGTCGTCATCGTACACAGCTGGCTCCTGTTGCTGCTGCTGCTGCTGATGTTGCTGCTGTTGCTGATCGTGATGACTGGCGGGCAACACATGTCGCAGGTCGGTGGGCGTGAGATCATGCCCGTTGCCCTGCTGCTGCTGCTGCTGCTGGTGGCGGTTTACCTGCTGCTGTTGCTGCTGCTGCTGTTGGTGCTCCTCCTCGTCCTCCTCCTCATCCTCATCGTAGTCATCCTCCTCATCCTCTTCGTCCTGCGCCTGCTGCTGCGATTGCTGCTGCACCTGCAGGTGATCGTCGCGATCTCGCGTCTTGCTGTTGCCATTATTGTTGTTATTATTATTGTTGTAGTGCTGCTGCTGCTGCTGCTTGTTGCCATTGTGCAGCGCACTGACCGCCGCTGCCACTACTGCCGCCGCTGCCGCTGCCCGCTGCTGCTGCTCTGCCGCCAGTTGCTGTTGCTGTTGCTGCTGCTGTTGCTGCTGCTCCTGCTCCTCCTCCTCCTCTTCATCCTCCTCGTCGTCCTCCTCCTCGTCCAGGCTGCTTTGTGAGCTGCTGCTGCTGCGACTGCTGCTGCGGCCATAGTTATTGTTGTTGTTGTTATTGTTGCTGTTGGCGGCATTGGCCCCATTGTTGTTGGTGCTGCTAATGTTGTTGTTGCTGCTACTGGTGCTGTGCGGCATTTGGCCGGCGGATCCCGCCGAATTGTTGCTATTGTTGTTGATGCTGAGGGCTGCCGCCGCTGCTGCTGCTGCGGCCGCTGCAGCGGCGCGACTCAGGAAGGGTGGGCGTGGCACCAGGGGCGTGTCGGAGTTATCGGAACTATCGTTGAAATCGAACGCACTGAAATCGGCGGCATTTGCTGCTGCGGCGGCGGCGGCTGCTGCTGCTGCTGCCTGTGCTGCTTGTGTTGCTGCTGCACTCGGATTCCCGCTGCTTGTTTTGGACATGCTGCTGGCGTCGCTGCCGACGCTAGCGTTGCTGCTGCTGCTGCTGCTACTGCAACTGCTGCTGCTGCTGTTGCTGCGACTGCGACTGCGATTGCGACTGCGGCTGCGACTGCGACTACGACTGTTGTTGTTGCTACCGCTGCTGCTGCTGATGACCGCTTGTCGCCGCTTGCTTGCTGTTGCTACCGCTGCTGCTGTTGTTGCTGCTGCTGCTGTTGCTGTTGCAGTTGCAATCGGTATCGCTGCTGCTGTTATCTTCAGTGTTGCCTTTGTGGCTGTTGCTGCGCTTTGCCGAACGCTGCTCAGTTTTTGCTATTTGTTGTTGTTGCTGGCGCTGCTGCGACGCGAATGCTTTTTGTTGTTGCTGGCGGGGCGGTCAGTCTCCGATTCCGCTTCAGATGGCGCCTTGCTCTGCCTCTGCTGCTGCTGCTGCTCCTGCTGCTGTTGTTGTTTCTGCTTCTTCTTCATTATTCACACACACAAGTCGCGCGTGCGACCCACTACACTTTTTGTTCCTGTTCCTGTTGTTGTTGTTGGTGGCGATGTTGCTGCTGCGCTTGTTGTTGTTGCATTGCTTTTTGGAAGCTTTTTTTACCCGTTGTATACTGCAGGTTTTTCTTTTTTTTTCTATTTCGTTTTATCTTTTTTTTATTTATTTTATGTTGTTTTTCGGGAAATATAAAGGATCCGTGACGGGGGAGAAGGGAGTATGTCTACCAGCAGAGCCGCCGCTGCCACTACCACTGTCGACGTCGACGTCGACGCCGACTGCGACGGAGGGGAAACGCGATGTAGCAGTAAAAAATACCGTTCGCCGAAACTCACTCGCTGGCTCGAAGCTCCCTTCTTTCTCACCGGGTGGCAACGCTGCCGCCGAGATTTTTTCGTTTTTCTTTTATTATTATTATTTTTTATATATGCTCGACACTTTTTTTATGTACTCCTCTGGCAATGTTTACTTTGTGAACTGTGTGTTTGGTGTTTTTCGTATTTGGTCTGCTAGCTGGAATGTTTCGAAAAGCGAATTGATCAGTTGAAACATCGGGGGTCCTATGTCACTTGTGCTTGTCAATTAAAATTGTGCCAAACGTGTGTTTTTGTGGCACATCCTTGGCTTGTGGTTCGGTTTTTGTGGTCAAGAGAGCTTGGCTTGTTATGATGGCTGCTCCTCGAAGTATCCTGCCATACACCCTCTCTCTCTCACACACACACACGCACACATAGCATAAGGTTGCGAATTTTTCAAAGACTTTTTCCTAAGTTCTTCGTTTCACCAAGCACTTATAGAAAAAAAATAAACAAAACAAATAACTGATTTATGGCATTCTTTTTTCACTAGCTACTTTTGAGCTGCTTATACATTTTGTTGTTATTGTTGTTTCGATAATTTCGTTACTATTTTCCTTTTTTTGGAGGACAAGGGTGTGCGTGTGTGTGTGAATCAGTGTATTGGTGTGACACCCAACGAAAGGCTCGAAAAGTGAGGGGGGAAAGAGGGCAAGAGTAAAAGAGAAAGAGAGCACGAGGCGGTGGCGGTTTTCGCCTTGCGGGGGAGGGAAAGGGGGTTGGGGTGGGGGGTGTCGGTCGAAGGGGTGTGCGGGTGGGGGAGGTCTGAGCTAGACGCCTCGCCTTCTTCTGCTCCTTGAGCCTTCCTGCTGGCCTTTCTTCTTACACAGTTTTCCACACGGCTTTTCACTCGAAAATAACTTGTCAAAAAAAAAATAGTTTAGCACACTTTCCAGCGGTCTGGCACTTTTAATTATTTAACTGCTGCTATATTGGCTGCTTTCTTTTTTTCTGCCTTTTTCCTCCTGCCTGTTCTTTGGGTTTTTGTCGTCCGCCGTTCGTGATTAGCGATTTCTCTGCGAGCGCTCGTATGCCGTTACTCGCTGGTCGCGACGGAATGAAGGACTTTTTATTTATGTGTATGTCCTCGCCGCAGTCGCAACTCACGGCAGCGACGCCGACAGCGACAGCGACGCCGGCAGCGCCACTTCCTCCTGCGCTCTCCGTTGCGAAAAAGTCCTGCGAAGCCCCCGCCAAAGCCCCCCACTCACACTCACACAGTGGCACACATGTACTTTTGGATTACGGAGAGCCTTTCTCCCTCTCTCCTGCTTTCTCTCATTCACTGTCTCTCTCTCTCTCTCTCTCTCGCTGGCGAAAAAGCTCGCTGAAGTCGCGACGTCGACGTCGTGTCCTGTCGCTGTTTTTGATGTCGCGATTCCTTCTGCCCGTGTGTGTGTGTCCGTCCGTGTCCCTGTGATTACGAGTTAGTGTGCGAGTGCGAGTGTCCGTGTATGCGGGTGTCCCTGCCAGTCCGCGTTTGCATGTGTGACTGTGTGTGTGTGTGTGTGCACTCGCGAATTGAGATGACGACGACAGAAACAGAAACAAGAACAACTATGCTGGTGGATACTAGTCGCGATTGCACTGTCAAAAAATTACAGAATTAAAGCCTGAATGGGAGCTGATGAACGTCGGGGTTCTTAAAGAGTTGCCACTTCTTTTACTCCAGAAGAGTGGCACTGGGGAGCTCAAATTGTAGTATTATAAAGTATTCGGAACACAAAATCAAATAAAGTGTCCAAGCTAAAGTAAATTTTCGTTTTACCAGCGCTAAAATCAAACCCAACGCCAAGATCTGTAAAAAAGAACTTACTCCAAAATACAGTTTAATCTCATAACTTTACCCAAAAAGCAATCGAAAATAAAAATTTACATAAAAACCAAGTTAAGAATAAAGAAGGATCATTTGTTAGATAACTTTTCTAAGAATTATTTGTTTATATACTAGGAAATCAATGCACAATGCACACATTAACACTCAAATAGATCTATTATAATTTCTCAATTTTCGGTATCTATTACAAATATTTTTTTTGCAATAGCCTGCTTAATTTTTTATTATTAAGTTACCGTAAATAACATCAAGGGGATATGGGACATTATTTAATCGAAAATGAGAAAGAAATTGGATCAGTGCACGACTTTTGCTGCTGCCATTGCTACACATCGACATCTGCGCCAAGTTCCGTTCTCAGCCTCAAACCCGTTCTCTCTCGTCCTGTCCACCGCCCTGGCCCGCCCCCTCACACGCACACACAAACGCACAGACACTTACACTCAGATAGGCACGTACTCCGCCCCCGCCGTCTCCCCGCGAGTCCCTGTCGGTGTTATCGCTGTCGTTAGTGCCACGACGACCGTCACAGTCAGCTCACTAAAAAAAAATTTCACCAACACTAATTAATATTCATGATATATTATATATTTTTCTTTTGTGTATTATTTTGGTGTGTAAAAAATCAGAGCTAAGGTAATAACTTGAACAGTAGTAATTCAATACTATAAAATTTATGCAGTCTATTTCTAAGGTACTTTAAGGCAGTGGTCTGCTTTAGGAGCCCAAAAAAGAGCGTTTTTTCAACAATTTTTTTGAAAGGGAAGGAAATGATTGAGGTAAACGAAATTTTGAGACGATATAATATTATATTTAAACTTTAAAAAACAATTTTTATTATTGCAAATAATTGAAATTAGCGGAAGTTGTAACGATTTTTCTGGGGCGCCTAGAGTGTGCACTTGTTAATCGGTGCCGGTGATGGAGTTCGTGCGATGCATCTGAAACAGTGGAACCAAATTTTTTTTACTTTTTATAAGTTCCTTTTCTATATGAACTAAAAAAATTCCGAAGAAATGACGAAATTCCAAATTTTTTCTAAGTTTGAAAAAAAATTCACTTTTTTGGAAAAAAAATTCACTTTTTTGGAAAAAAAGTTCACTTTAAGTTGCAAAACAAGTAATTTAAATAGTTCAAATAGAAGATAATTCAATACTGAAGCTAGATCACTTTGGTTTTTTTCGATCGGACATATATTTTTTTTACTATGGCCGGCACCGCTTTCCAAGACTTGTGAAAATAAAAACTCGAGAAAACGGGCTGTAAAGTCTGCCCGAGCATACGAACTTGCTCGACGCTCGGCCACTAAAACTGATCTAGCTTCGAAAATATGTCGAATTGGCCTCTAAAATTTTGAACACATATTCTTGGATAGTTTTGGAATAGATTTAAGACAAAAAAAAAAAAACGATTTTTTGAAGTCTGTAAAGCAGACCACTGCCTTAAGTCCATTAAGTAGAAATTAAAAGTTTGGATGTTGAATAATTGCTTTTAACTTAAGATATGGCAAATTAAACATAGCTACTTTTTCCTCATCTTACAAGTTAAAACAAGTTTAACATATCTTATAATTTATAAGCTTGGTAACGGAAAATTAATTGAATGTAGTATGTACATATGTTTGCTTTAAGCAAAGAATTGTAATTTAATTTTCTTAATCGACTCATGCTTCGATCTCAGTGTGACAGCACTCAGGAGCGACTGGCAGAAGCAGAGCGAATTGGCGCCACCCCCAAAAATCCATGCGAAGCCGCCTGCCCGTGCCACTCCCACAGTGGTCATAAATCGAATTTTTGTTTATGTGGTGGTAAGGCTGCTGCGAAGCAGTCACACCCCCCTCGTTCGCCCCCCGCCACCCTTCGTGCCACCCACAATCGCTCCCCGCTGAGTCTGCAGCCAACATCCTGTCATTCCAACGGTCGCGGACGCCGACGTCGACGTCGCTGCCAGCGCCAATGGTTTACGGTTTGTTGTGTTTCGGTGCCACCAGCAGGAGCTAGTGGGTGGTGGGTTGTGGGTGGTCGGATGCAGGTCCTTGCTTCCTAGCTTCCTTGCCCGTGCGGGTGGTGGTTCTGCCGGCCGCGACGTCGATGCCTCTGCCGTCGTCGTTGTTTTGGCGTCCAGGCGCCTGCGTCTCTCTCGACATCCATTTACGCTCTCTTCGCGGTTCGCTCTCTCGCCCATTCTGCGCCTGCTCGTCTCTCTTCTCGCTGCTGAGCGGCCCCCATTTTGCCCCACCACAACCCTAACACCCACCAAAAAGGACATGCTCAGCCTGAACGTATGCAGCGATTTTTTCCGTGCTGGGTTGTTGTTATTCTTTTCGCTGGGGGTTGAAATTCCTTGTGTGCCTGTCCTCCTTCTTTGTCTCTCTGAATGTGTGTGTGTGTGCGTCTAGGAGAGTAAAAGATGGACAAACAAACTGTGCATCTGTGACGTCACTCGTGTTGGGAGAAGGGCTGCAGTGCAAAAAAATAACATTACCAGGGCTACTATAAAACGAGTAGAGTGAAATACCGATACAAAAGCTTACATTTGACTGAAGTAAAGTTGTAGTGTTGTAATAAATGTTTTTAAAATGTTAACTTTAGCTTATACGGGGTCGCTACTGCTGCCCTTTGAGCGAATTCCTTCCGATAAAACTTAAAGACATGCGTATTGTAACACTTGGCTGATACAAGATGATACTCGTTGGGTAAACCAACTTGTGCTACACTCGCCACTCGCTAAGCATTTGAATTCTATGAGTTATTTATAAAACATTTTGATAAAGTGGGAAAACAAATAAAAATTAAATAAATATAATAAAATCAAGGCTAAAGACATTTTACTTTTATATCTTCACCTAACCAGGTAATTTTCATTCTCTGCTTCTATGCAAGGATTTCTAAAGATCCATATTCAAACAAACATATTATCTTAATCGAAATAGACATATCTGTTAACGATAGTAATTTTATGTATATTAAAAAAAATGTTATAATTCTTTTTGATCAACAAAGATATGACATCTAAAACCAAAAGTTTACAAACTATAACGAACCAAGATAACGCCCAGAGCTTTAACCGAAAGAGCTTACCAAAAGCTTTTTAAAGTCCTTGCTTAACTACTTTACTTTACTGTAAGTGTAAGGAATTTGTGTTTTTAATTTATTCTTTATTTTTATTTTAAATTTGTAATTTTTTTCACCCAGGAATATTCACCTCAATTGCAAGTTAAAGGCAGGCTTTCAGCCTAGAACCTGTTTTATTTTTACCTTAGCATGAAGATGGAAACAGGTGTTTGATGTTTCACTCCACCTATCTCACATTTAGTTCTGAATAAATTCTTTACCACTCTAAACAGCTTTTTTATTTTAAGGACTTTATAACCTTTTCTACACAAAGCTTTGTTTAAAACCATGCTTTTACTTCGCTCTACTTGGGAAACAGATAAGAAATATTAACAAATGTAACGCCGAATTAAAATGACTAAAAATAATCAATTCACTTTTTCCAATTTTTTACATATTATTTCCGCAAACCCTGAAAATGACAAAAAAAATTATTTTATTTTACCGAGGAAAGTATTTTCTTTTAAGCCCTAGAAAAAAGTAGCATACCAGCTTTTTCCAAATCCAGAAATTAAATTTGTTTGAAAAATTATCGTGACTAGAAGAAAAACGACAACGTTTTGTTACACATTTCTTTTGTTTTATTTTTTTGTATTTGTTTTATTTTCTTTTGTTTGCTTTTTAATATGTTGTATTTAATTTTATATTATTATTTTTAAGCTTACAACTTAAGGCATAAAGTTACAACTAAAACTTAAGTGCTAAACATCATTATCATGTATCGATCATAATCAGATCTAGCTCTGCGACTCGGCGCACATTATATGCATATACTCCACAAATTATTGTTGTTCTCTTTTTCACTCCTCTCCTTTGTTATTTGCATTCATAATTTGTGTTTATTGTTTATCATTATGCACTCAAAAACCATTACTCGTAATTTTTTGTTTTCCTATATCGATTTTGAATTGATACAACAGAAAAAAAAAAATCGGAAAACCCAAAACAATAAAAGGTCCTTCAATATAGCGAATTTGAATTTGTTTTTGTTTGTTTTTTTTTTTTTGTGATTTGCGTAAATCATTTTCAGGGCACGCCTTGTGCATACACTTCGTTTTGTTTTACATTCATTTAGCCGGCGCTTGTGTAATTCGCCCAGCAATAAAATTCGGTTATTCATACAGTATTCATTTATATATTTATGTGTAGAAAGTGCTCTCTATCCAAGGATCGGCGATCGGTGATCGGGCGGGGGCGATGTGACCGGTTTCGTTGTGTAGGCGGCTCCTCGAGTCCTTGTCCACGAGTCCGTCCGTCCGTCCAGTCGCGGTCCCAATCCCCCCCACACCGACCCACCTCCCGCCCAAACCTCTGGCGATGTTTATTCCGTTAGTTATTATGCTGCCGTTTTACATACATTTATTATCATATATATATGTATATATATATATATATATATATGTTGTAAAATTTTCTGTATATATAGAATTTGTTTCTTTATTTTATATATTAATTTTTATTTATATATATATATTTATAAAAAAAATACGCCTCCTGCCCTTAACTAAAACGTTGCTGCGCGCTGCTCGGCCAGAGTTGCGTTTCCGGTTCTTTTTATATCCGTTTCCGCTAATGTTTATCGGCTTACGGTTGCAAAAATCTATCGTTTATCTGCATCGTTAGCTTTCACATATACATATATCTTTTAATATTTTACAATTTTTGTTTTGTTGAATAAGTCTTAGCGTTTGTTTACTTTATATATATATATTAACTATATAGATTTTGTTTTGTTTTTTTTTTTAGTTTCATTATGTATTAAAAATATTTAATTTTTTTGTTATACGTTTTTTAATTGGTTTTACTGTTCTTTCGCGTTTGCATATAAAAAAATAAGTTAAAAAAAAAAACGAATTAAACAGTAAAGTAGCTAAACACTAAAACTGTTTTGTAAGACATAAGTGTTTTATAAAAAAATATGCGTATGTATATCCCATATATATAATTATATGTATTGGGCTTCCTTTTATTTTACTTACAGCGAAACTTTCATTAGCTTAGTAATTAAACGTACATAATTCAATAGCGCTTGCTTAAGAAGATAATAAAACACAATTATGCTCCATAAATTAAATCTTGCGTATAAAAATAGCAATAAAAAAAACGAATAATAGTAGTAGTAAATGTATCGATAAAATTGAATAAACAATGCTCATTAAAATTATGCGCAGTTTTTTATGAAATTTACAAAAAGTCGTTTAAATAATGTTTAAAGTGTTCTATAGGTAATATATATATATATACTTGTTTCTCGTTTTACTTGTTTACTTTTGTTTATGTTTTTTGTTTTGTTTTTTTTTCTAAGAACAGCCCAACAGTGTGTTTTTATTATTTTGTTTATTTCTTATAATCATAGGTGTATTGTATATATATGTGTGTGGTGTGATTCGGGTTTTGCATATATCTATATTGTTGTCCCTACCGATTTTCTTTAATTACGTTCCGACTGAGAGCTGTGTAAGGAGGAGGAAACATCTAGTGATGCCACACGAAAGGACTTGGACAAGGACACCCACGGCCACACGAATAACACAAGTACATTTAAGCGAAAATTAGGACACGAATTCGGCTTTTGGGTCTCGCGTGTGTCCCTAATAAGATTCATGAGAAACAGGTGGTTCAGATTTGGTTTTAATCTATCAAAGTTTGCACGATCAAAACTCTATTCTTAAGCACTTTTATTATATACAATTCAAAATTCTCCGTTTTAAATGTTTGCTTTGAAAAAGATTTGAAAAAGTCTTTGTGGATTTCTAAATATTACAATCAATTTATTAAAAAAAAATGCTAACTAAATCTCTCCTTTTTTCTTGCAGTCACAATTGTTCGAAGAGTATAAATCAATAAATTTGTTTAAAAACTTGTTAAATATATATATATATGTTTTAACTTGCTGACACAATAGTTTATTTGAACAGTTTTGAAAATGTCTAAATACACATTTCGTTTTGTTTTTAATTTGTTTTTGTTCTGGACATAATCCTGCCTGCCGTCTCACATCTCGTTATCTCTCTCGATTTCCTGCTGCGTTTCCCTCCTCTTTACTCGCTTGTTTATCATTGTTTTTGCTGTTGTTTCTTTCTTTTGTTTAAAGCCATTATCATTTTTGTTTTGTTTTGTTTTTTAAATGTTTTGTTTGCTTAGCTTGGGGCTTCTTGTCCGTTTAAATCGCTTATGCTTAGTGGTAAATCTACATCCGCTGCTTGTGTTGCTGCTGCTGCTGCTGCTGCTGCTAAATGTTGTCGTTGTTGCTGCTGCTGCAATTAGTATTGCTGTCAGTAGTAGCTTGGATTGCCGCCGGCAGCACTGCCTCCGTTGCCTCCAGGATAATGCTCACTGGCATAGTAGAGACTCCTCTGCTGCTGCTGTTGTTGTTGCTGTTGTTGTTGCTGCTGGTGGAGTTGATGTTGCTGCAGTTGCTGCTGCTGCGATTGCAACGGAGGCGGCAACACTGAGGTTTGATAGAGTTGCTGCTGCTGCTGCTGCTGGCGATGCGGCGACTGCTGCTGCTGCTGCTGCTGCTGGACAAGATGCGGATGTGTTGGTTGTGACTGCTGATGCTGGGAGTGTCGCCGGTAGCCAGGATAGCCGTACACCACGCTCGTGCTGCCGCTGCCGCTGCTGCTGCTGCTGTTTGTGTTGCTGCTGCTGCTGGGAGCTGATGCTACAGCTATTGCTGCTGGCCGCAGGTGCGACGCCGACGCCGATGAAGACGCCGGCAGTCACAACTAATCTTCGTCGCTGAGGGCCTCGTACTTGGAGGACAGCAGCGGCTTCGGTTCACTGGCCGCCGCTGCAGCAGCTGCGGCCGCTGCCACAGCAGCCACCGCAGCCGAGACACCGGGATTGATTCCGCCGGCTCCGCCTCCGCCACCGCCACCACCTCCCACACCACCGCCTGGACCACCGCCTCCGCCGCCGGGGCCACCGACTGAAACGCCACCGGGTCCGCCGCCAATTCCGCCGGCGCCACCGCCCACCACCAGCGACACACCGCCGCCGGCGGCGCCCAGTTCACTGAGCGCGTGCGCAGCCTTGGCCTTGGCGCTCAAGTGTCCTGGCGGCGCCACCGCCTGATGGGCGGCCAGCTGGAGCGGCTGCGGCGGTTGCAGTCCGCCCGCGGCACTCGGAACGTTCAGGGCGCTGTAGGGGAAGGCATAGGTGCTGGGGGCGTAGGCCGAGGGCGGCGGATGGTACGGCGAGTGGTGGCTGTTGGCACCGGAAACGGAAACCGAGACGGAACCGCTGCCCGCCGAGCGCCGTCCGCTGGCGTCCACCACCTCGTATTGGTTGGGCGTCTTGCGCGACACACTGATCTCCGGCGGCGGCGGCTCCTTGCTGCGGTGCTGCAGCTCCAGGGCGGCCACATGGGCGACGTGCGCCACATGGGCGGCATGGACGGCGGCGTGCGAGTGGGCCACCAGTTCGGCCACCTCCTCGTCGGACCGAACCTCCACCGTGCGGTTCTTCACGTAGCCAATGTCATCGCGCATCACCTCGGCAATGCGATTCTTCACATAGTTGTCGATGGTGCTGGCACCGCCTCCGGATCCCGGTCCTCCGCCACCGGGCGCCCCACCACCGCCGCCGCCACTTGGCCCGCCACGCTGCTCCGGCAGCAGCGGCACTCGACCCACTGGCGCCGGCAGGAAGTAGTGGCCCGGCTCTCCGCCGGCAGCCGCTGCGGCGCCCATCACCTGGTGCAGCATCATCTCGTGGTTGAACTTGCGCGGACTCACCGCCTGCGGCATGCGGATTATGTTGCGTCCATCTTCACCGGGGGTATTGGCCCGGCCACCGCCACCACCACCGCCGCCGCCGCCGCCGCCACTGCCAGCGCTGCCGGGGCCACCGGGTGCCCCACTCTGGCCGCCGCCACCTGGCGCCGCACCGGAGCCACTGCCCGGCATCTGGGGATGGTGCGGCGGGGCATGGTGCTGCTGCTGCTGCGAATGGTGCTGCTGCTGCTGCTGTTGCGCGTGCTGCTGCTGCTGCTGCGAATGGTGCTTGGCCTCCTCGGCCTTTTGCTGCAAACGGCGGTTCTGCTTCCAGCGATCCGGCGGCAGAATGGATTGCGCCTCCTGCAGATAGGATATGAACGGCGGCGTCGGCCGCAGATGCGGATTGGTGCCGTAGTCGTTGGTGATTATCGAGTCGGTTAGCTCCCCCGAAGGTGATGCTCTTCGTGTGGATCTGCTGGGGACTCGGAGCCGATCCGCCGGCCTGCGAGGTGGGAGTCCTCAGCTGGCCGTGAACGGATCTCGATTGCGAGGATTGCGACGAGGGCGGCGGAGCTTGCTGCTGCTGCTGCTGTTGCGCAACTGCTGCAGCTGCCGCCGAGATGCGTTCCTGGTCCAGATCGATGTTGATCACACTCGGCGATCCCGAGGAGCTCGGCTTGCCGTTGTTCTCGGCGGTGAGCAGGGAAACGGCGCCGCCTTCGTGCGGCTGGCGATGATCGCGCAGGTACATCGGATGGATGACGTTGGCCGGCGAGGATCGTGTCCCGGCCCCACCGCCACCTCCTCCAGATCCGCGTGGCGGTGGTGGAGCGTGGACGAAGGTGGGACGCGGAAACTCGCGGCCAGGACCTGCGGTGGCATCGTTGTTCCGATTGATCTCGTGCTTGATGATGGCGTCGATCAGACTCTGGGCACTCAGCTGCCCGGGAGTGTCCTCTGGTGCGGGACCGGCGTGGGCTGCCCGATAGTACCTGCAAGAAATATACGATTCCATTTTTAGTTGGGCGAAGAATAGATCTTTTCAAGCCAGCTTGATTCAATCATTTAATATTTATAAATATAGAAAGTAAACCAAGTATTTAAAGGCCAATAAGCACCTTAAATGTTTAAGCATTTATGCTTGAATTATTATATCAAGTTTCAAGTCAGCTGATTGGATTATTTTAGAAGGTTGAATAGAGAAAACACACAAATTGGAAATGCTAACTCAAAAACTTCTGTTTGGGATTTCAAATCTTAAATCTCAATCTGCAACTTTAATTGAAATATATACCTTCGTTTTTTGTACCACATAACTTTTTTGTGTTCCAAATGTAGTCTTAACTCTTAATTGGTTTTATTTTATATAGCTAAGATATCAATGATATTTCTGGTAGATTGAATCTTTAACTAAACAAGTAATTCTAGTTGAAACTACAAAATTTTCTGCTTCTTCCGATTTATAATGATTCAGAGAAAGACAACGAGAATTGCAGTCGCTGCTTATTCACAATCCGAAAGTGATCCGTATTCCGTTCTTATCGGAAAGAATTATTGTACTGAACCAGAAAAACAGTGGAATGTGTCTTTTATATATGTTATATATATTAGAAGAATTCTTTTTGATTAGAACGCAGAAGAGCCTCACTTCCGGATTGTGAATAAGCAGTGACAAACATATATATATGTATAAGAAATATATAAATAGATAAAGTACGAACACCATGTTTTATAAGCGATGAAAAAATTAAGGAATGAAGTTGCGATAAAATTCTCAGTAAAAACGAGAAACTTACAGATGCTTTAACTTAGCTTAAAAGTTCTTTGAAATTGCTTCTGGATAACTTCATCAGAATACTTTGACTATAGAAGATCTCTAGCCTTATTTTATAAAAAAGTTTAGAGCAGAAAACTCCATGTATATAAAGTTCTTAAGATACATATCTTAAAATACATATCTCTGCTCTACTCCTGGTCTTTGGGGGGCACAAACACTTACGTTTCTCGCTCGCGATCCGGAATGGAGCGCGGTGGCCCCGCCTCCGGAACGGGAGCACGGATGTACTGCGCCGGCGAGGGTCCCCCGCCACCGGCGCCACCGGACGCGGTGACCACACCGCCGGCGAACATGCGCTCCATGCGCCGGCTGTCCCGCTCCCGCTCCTCGGCGACCACGCGCCGCTCGCGATCCTGTTCCCGTCGCTCCCGCTCCCGTTCTCGCTCCCGCTCCCGTTCCCGCTCGCGCTCCCGCTGCTCCCGCTCGCGCTCCCTCTCCCGCTCGCGCTCCCTTTCCCGCTCGCGGTCGCGTTCGCGCATCCGCTCCTGCAGGTCCCGCTCCAGGGCGTGGCTGTGCTGCTGCTGGGCCACCGCCGCCTGCTGGGCGGCCGCCGCCTGCTGCGCCTGCTGCTGCTGCTGCTGTTGGTGCTGCTGGTGCTGCTGGTGGCGCATGGCGCGCTTCGTCTGGTCCATGTGCCGCTGCATGTCCACCTGGGCGGCCATGTTGAGGCTGCGGTAGTGCTGCTGCTGCGCCAGCTGCTGTTGCATCGTGTGATGGTGGTGCAGCGCCAGGTCGCGGTACCGCAGATCGTGATGGGCCGTCGGCGGCGGTGGCTGGGCCACGCCCACCATTGCATGCGGTGGCGGCGCTGGCGGACCGCCGAGCGATGGTCCGGATCCGGGTACGGGAACTTGTCCCGGTGGCGGTGCCGCACCCGGTGACTTGTCATCCTTCTGCGAGGGCACCGGCAACTGCGGCTGCTGCACGGCCACATCGACAAACGAGGCAAGTGCATCGTGACCAGCTGTAAATTGGTTAGAAAGGGTATTAGTTTCAGTAGAGGATTGACTGAATAAAGCGAGCTAACCTGGAGCATACTGATACGGGGCTCCTATGTGCATCCTGCTCGGCGGCGGAGCTGCCGGCGATGGGGGCTTGGAGCCCGTGTTGTGCCGCTGGATCACTCCTTGCCGCTGCGGCGGCGGCGTGCGATGCGGACTGGGAGTGCTGCAAAAACACAAAAGGAATCTCAGTAAGTTTTGGTTTTTAAACGGGGTAAGTAATCTACAAGTTATAAAATATAAAATATAAAAATATAGTATTTATGAAGAAAAGAAGCAGAAAAACACGGTTTGGTTTTGAGCTTTTTGTTTTTTTTTTTAAATGTTTGTTTCTAAACTGTTTGTTTATTCTACATAAAATAACTCATAAGTTGCATCTTTATTTAGGTCAATATATTATATGATATTGCTTTCAATTGTAACCAAAAAAGAGCTTCTTTTCGGTTGGTAAAATATTGTTCAATTAAATGTATTTTTTGGATCGCTTTCTTTATTTAATTCCATTAAAAAAATATCACAAGAAAAAATAATTAATGGAAACATGCGTTGTTTTCCCAACTTCACTAAATAAATAAACATTTTTCGTTTTTTGAAACTGAAATTGTGGTAAAAGAACAAAAACTCTTAATGATAAAACGCAATTTATGCTAAAACTGATGAATAGTTAGCAGAAACTACGATTTGTTTTCAAAAACTACACATACAATGCAAGAGAATAAACTCTTTCTAGAACACATTTTTTTTTTTGTAGAAAAAATTGCTTAATTTTCTTTTAGCAGTTTAAACTTCACTATTGAATTGCTTTTATTTTTTTTCAACAGTTTTTTAGCACATCTCCATTATATTTTTTATCAACAGGTGTCATTGCAGTTTGTTTTTCCTTCGAACGCAACTTGTGTTTACAACAATTAAACGATTGCAGGATTTAGTATTACTTCTCCGCATTTTGTTTGTATTTATTGAGGATTAATTTCTTAATTTTGGAGTTTATTGAAGTGGTGAGATAGCACTGTGATTAGCACTGTTTGCTCAACAGAGCGAATGAGTTGAAAACTGTCCGATTTTCTGGCGGCTCAGATTTCTTCCGGACTCCGGAGCTTTTCATCAGGGCTTCGGCTTTCGCTCCCCGTGAACTGCTATTTACATGGCTCTCATTAACATCGCGTCCTCTTCGCAGGATAACATTTAACATGGTTTCAATCAAACGCCAGCCGATGAATAGCTTATACAGCATGTGCAAAGTGCAAAGGATTTTCCATAATCAGATATGGATGCAATACATTGACACTATTGACACTTTTAAATGGAGGAAAAACTATACAAAATAATTTAATTTGCCAACTAGTTTTTTTTTTTAATATTTATAATATAATATTAAAAAGCCCAAACTGCATTCCTGTGGAGTGCATACTGTGTTTTAAAATAGGTCAGGCACTGGAGAGCTGAAATATTTGACCCACTGCACCTGAACACCATCACAATTGACGTGTTGCTCTGCTCTGTTCGCCATGGCAACGAAAATCTCAAGAGCTTTTCGCATTGTTCATTGTATTTACATTGCTCATAATCCGATGCGAACGGACTGCATTTCAAATTGGTTTATTGGTCACCATTAATTAAGCACTTTACACCGAATATCAGCTCAATATTAAATCAAAATGCAAAGCTGATTAAGATGCTGGCGATTTTCATATCCGATTCATGTGCGTCAATCGGAAATTGAGGATGAACTCAACGAATGTTCACTTGAATTTGCCAAAGGATTGCAGTGTCTTTCCTTTTTCAACAAATGATTAAATATATATTGCTTAACTATTTGCCTCGTTATTTAATTTTGTTACATAATACTGATCACAGTGAAATGCGCGGGAAAGTAAAATATTTGCATTTTGTAAATGCAACTGTCATTTTAAAATTAACTGCACGTTAAGCTGGTGAATTAACTGCTCTTTAAAATATATATTTCAGAATTTTAATTTAGCGATAAAAAATTCTACCAAAGATGAGGACCCAACTCTTGTAATTAACTATAAATATATTCATAGTTGCTTAAGAAACATAATGTTTTTCCTAACAAATAAATGGGTATATGTTTGATATTCATCTTAATAGAATTGAAAATGTAACGATTAAATCTGTTATTACTGGTCATGAAATAGCTCGTAAAACCGTAAAAATAATAAGTAAACTCCTCAATCAAAATCAATTATTTTTGCATATTTTAAAAAGCAATAAAAAAAATGGTACGAGTGCTCAGCTCAAGATTAAAGATTTCTTTCCACAAATATATTCTGCCACAAATATTCTGTTAATCTTCTGTTAATCTTCTGTTTATCTTCTATTAATCTTCTGTTAATCTTCTGTCAATCTTCTGTTAATCTTCTGTTAATCTTCTGTTAATCTTCCTGTTTCTTTACTCCCATTAAAACCCCTTAGTTCTCCCCCACTCACCTGTTGGCATGATCGGCTGGCGAGGCGCGACTGGAGTACTCCGGCCGTCCCCTGGGCGCCGGATCCTTGTCGCCGCCGTAGGCGAATCCACCGGCGCTGCCGACGCTGTTCCGCGGCGACGGCGACTCCATGTCGGAGCCACCGCCTCCGCCGCCGCCGCTGGCGCTGCTGCCACGCGACATGTTGCGCTGCTGCTGCTGCTGTTGCTGTTGCTGCTGCTGCTGCGCTCCCTGCATCTGCTGCGAGGTGATGTAGTCGTGCATCACGATCTGGCGCGTGCTCAGCACCGGCGCCTGCTCCACAACCCCGCCGAACGGCGACCGCGTGTAGGGCGAGCCGACGCCGTATCCCTGTGGCGGTGGCGCCTGCGGCGACGACTGCTGCGGCGGCGGCGGCAACTGCTGGCCACCACCCGGCTGCTGGGCGGGACTGTGCCGCTGCGAGTTCTTGTAGAACTCGTAGGCCCGCTTGCTCTCCAAGTGGTGCGGCGGCAGGTGGAGCGGAGTGCCCTGCGTGATCGATCCATGCTTCCCGCCGCCACCACCGCCACTGCCCACCGGACCACCTGCTCCTCCGCCGGCCGGGGAACCACCGACGCCCTCGGGCGTGGTCTGCCGCACCAAGCCCTCGTACTTGGGACTCAGCAGAGCCTTTGCTGCGGCCGCTGCAGCCGCATGAACGATGATCTGCTGCTGGGCGCTGTTCGCCGGAGTTCCGTGGGTGATGGAGCCGCTCTTCACCAGCAGCTGCTGCTGGGCGACCGCCTGTTGCTGCTGCTGTTGCTGCTGCTGCTGCTGCTGCTGCGAGGGCGAGTGGCCGTGGCTGGGGTGCAGGTGGTGGGCCTGCTGCGGACTCAGCTTGGGCGGCGCCTTGGCCACGCCCCTTCCCGAAGGCGGTTGTGCCGGCGGCGGTTGTCCCGCCCGCGGTGGCAATTGCCCCTGGCCGGAAATCGAAATGGGAACGGGCACCGGCACGGGCTGCAGATAGAGGGGGCTGCCGGGAACGCCGGGCAGGACGCCGGGCACCACGCCCACTCCGCCGGTGGCCTTGAGCACGCCGTGCGGCGGAGTGGAGTACAGATACGAACTGGGACCCGCCAGCGTGGGCACACTCACGGCATCGCCACGATACATGGTCGTGGAGCGGACGATGTGCTTCATCGACATGCCGGGCGGCGGCGGACCATGATGGCGATCCGACGAGGAGGCACCGCCCGAGCCACTCGATCCGGTGACCGAGCCGGATCCACTCGATCCGCCGGAGGAGCCGCCCGTGTGCGGTGAGTGGCCGTCGCGTGGCGTCTTCTTGATGCTCAGGTCCAGGGTTTGCGGTTCGGGCTCCTGCTGCACTTGGAGCTGCTGCTGCTGCTGCTGCGAGTGCTGCGAGTGTTGCGAGTGCTGCGGATGCGCCGGATGCTGGCCGTGCTGCGAGGGATGCGCCGGATGCACCGAGTGCTGTGGCGGCGGAGGGATGCCCCGCTGTGGATGTGCCGTGGGCACGTTGTAGATGATCGTCTCCGGCGGCGTGGGTGTCGAATGGGTGGACGAGCCACCGCCACCGCTCTTCGCAGATCCTCCGGAGCCCTTCACCACCGGTGTAATGGTGGCCTTGTCCACACCAACGCCTCCTCCAGCGGAAGCAGCATGGGCCATCATTCCGGGATGACCCAGCTGACCCACCAGGTGGGAGTTGACCACCGAGAGGGTGGCCAGGCTGTCGCTGGTTCCGTTGTTGCCGCCACCGCCGACGATGGAGGAGGATGTGCCTCCGGTGCTGCTGGTCGGCGGTATTGGATGCGCCGATGGCGGTGGAGCCACTGCAGCCGGTCGGGATGGCAGCTTCTGCACGGAGGTGCCATGTGGCAGGCCACCCGCCGAGGAGGTGGGTGGTGGTGCTCCACCGGCCACCTGCTGCTTGAGGATATTTGGATCCTGGCGGTACTCCCTTACGATTGTCAACTCCTTGCGTTCCAAATTGTTGGCTGTTTGTTGCTGTTGCTGTTGCTGTTGCTGCTGCTGCTGTTGTTGCTGTTGCTGTTGGGATGGCGATTGGCTTTGGCTGGGCGCCTGACCTTGACCCTGACCTTGGGATTGACCCTGCTGACCTTGACCTCCTTTGGGCTGCGGGCCTTTGTGCTTCAGCGATCGCTCGATCACCGAGAACACACAATCCTGCACATTGTTGACCGCCTCGCGTCGCATGCCCATCGGTCCGTTCACCTGCTGACCACCAGCTGCTCCTGCTCCTGCTCCTGCTCCTCCTGGTCCAGCTGCTCCGCCAGGTGGCACTCCACCAGCCACCATACTATTGTTGTTCGGTGGCTGCAACCCGGCCACATTGTTGGCATGTCCATGTCCGTGTCCGTGGAAGAGAACCTTGGGACTCTGGCGGTTCGCCGGCGAGTTCTCGTTCTCCTCATCCGCCGTTTCGGTGGCGGAGGAGTCGTACTCCTCGCTGGTCTTCTGCTTCTTGGGCGCCTGTCCAGCCGCCGGAGGCAGCAGGCGATCATTGTCGCCGCCTGCCTTGCTGCTCATCCTCGTCGGAGTGATGATCAGTGGTGCTCCTCCATTGTTGTCCGCACCGCGTGGTGTTGATGGTTTCTGCTGTGGTGCCGGCGGCGGTTGTGGTTGCGACAGCTGCTGTTGTTGTTGCTGCTGCTGCTGTTGTTGGAGTTGCTGTTGCTGCTGGAGTTGCTGCTGCTGCAGTTGTTGCTGTTGCTGCTGCTGTTGTTGCTGTTGCTTGACCAATGTCAGGGATTTGTGGCGCTGCAGATTCTCGGGACTCTCAACGGACGCGGTGTCCGAGCCGCCCGGTTCCCGCTCATCGCACGACGAGGTGCTGACATCCGTTTCGTCGCCGCCGCTGCCGCTGCCCGCACCGCCGCCCACGGAGCCGTCGGTGAGATTCAGCTGCGGATCGAGCTTGCGGCGGATGCGCATCAGGCAGGCGGAGCAGCAGCGGGTGGCGTGCGGCGGTATCTGGAACTCGGCCATCACCGGATCCCGGATGTCCGGCGCCAGCTCGAAGAGACGGGAGGGAATGTTCCGGAGGCGCTGGGCGCGATCCTTGGGATTCGGACACGTCGGCAGCGGGCAGTTGGGATAGCGGCTGCGCACCGACTTGCACTGGCAGCTGTTGCAGACGCGCGCCCCCGCCGGAATCGTTTCGTCCGGGATGCCGTACTGCTGGCCACGCCCCTTCTTCAGGGGGCGGGTGCGCGGACACGCCTCCGCCTTGCACACAAAACAGCTGGCCAGTTTGTCTGGAAAGAGTTCAAAAGAAGGCAAGGTGATTTAAGGTTGGTGGTTGGGTGTACACTTAGCAAAATATATTCAACGGTTGATATATGGGTATTTGATCCTTCAACTTCCAAAAAAAAAAAAATATTTACTAGTTGATATATGGGTATTTGATCCTTCAACTTCCAAAACTATTTGCATTGGGTGGAATTTTAATCCTCTATCTTTCAAATGGTTATGCCTATAAAAATACTTCGCTTTTGATATATTATATTTGAAATGACCATAATAAAATCGGGTAAATCCAAGATTATTGCCTTTTGCTATTCATGAATTCAGAAATAATATTTAATATTTAAATTAAATTCAAATTAAAGCAATTGGAATAGTTTTTTGAATATTAATTTGTAGAAAGTATAAGAATTTTATAAATCAAACAAACGAATAAATTTCTTATATTTGGTAATATCCAATACGTATGTATTAATTTAATTATTTTAATTTCACCAACAATTGTTAATGCTTTAATAAAAGGAAATGAAATATTTTTTTGCAATCCTCGATTACATAATTAGCCCTAAAAGCGATACGCAATTATTGCAGAGTGTAGGCAAAAGTTATGCAAACACATTAAAAAATGTGATTTAATTAAAGCTACTGGTCAGGAGAGCGAGGGGAAAGAGGAAAAGTGGGGGGAAAATGGAAAGATGGGGCACCGCTTTCATTAAGCCACTTAACAAATAATGAGCAGCAGCCAATTGAATATTTTAAAACGCCTTTCCCCCAGCTTTTAACGGGAAAAGTGGGTGGGAGGAGGGGGAGGGGTGTAACAAGGATGCGGCTCAGGACGATTGCTGATGGATGGTTGGCAATAAATGGGAATGGATGCTTTGCGAAGAAATAAGCAGGAGTGAAATGGATCTGCAGACAACGCAGATTAAAAACAGGGTAAAATATAAAATAAATATATATTTATAATACAACTATTTTCTAACCATAATCTAAATTACTTTCTCCTACTTTTGTTTATATATTTTCTTTAATTTTCGAAATTAATTTCAATCCTTTTCCATTATACTTCAGGCTATTCCCTAAGGTTAAAGCTATGGCACATCAACTGGATTATCGCAGAAAACATCCCTGGACAAATGGGAAAGCCAAAACCGAAATGGAACAACCACCCACTAAAAATCCTGACTCGGTGGCCATTTCTGTTTGTCTTAGTTTTCGTTTTGCCACTTTAATAATTTTACAATTTTAATGATGTGCAAATAAGACGCAACGAAATGCGATGAGGGGGCAAAAACAATTGCGCCGTTTAACCAAAATCAATGTAATTAAAACAAATGAACGCCGAAGAAATGGAATAAAGGGAATAAAATTTATGAAGACAGGGGTGAAAAAAGATGGAAGGTGAACAGAACAGCACACTAAAGAATAATTGTACGTAAAATCAATCAGCGTTTTAAATGTCAGAGAAACTGAAAATGTTGCTGACCAGAAAGCGAGGAGGTCCTTTTCGTCCTTGTGTCTACTTTCTCCCCCTTCTCCGCTGCCTGCGTTTTTCGCGAGTCTCGGTGGAATATGAAAATACATCAAAGTAGCCCCACCTGCCCCGCCCAACAATCCACCCACCCACTTTCCCCAACTTTACATGTTGTCCGAGCTCGAGAAAAAAAATGATGAGTAAAAATGCTTTTTGAGCGTTAAAATTTTAATAAGCCACTCATTTTAATTTTGATTGTCAAGCGGAGGGGAAGAAGGGGGAAAACAGGTGGATCAGTTAACCGGTGTGCAATTTTAACCCCACACGCACACTCACACACACTCAACTGTGTGTCCGATGAAAAAAAAAGAATGAAAATGAAGCGTCAAAATGTAGGCAACGCATTTAAACTTCATTGAAAAAGCTCAATCAAATTGCAATTATAGATTGCAAATTAAATAAAAATCACAAAATAAATATTTAATATTAATAACAGTAACAACAAACCAGAAAGAGATCAACAAATAGCGGCCAACCAAAAAAATGTTGTAAATCAAATGAAAACAGGTACAAGTTGAATTGATAATAAATGGTTGACTCTCAAATACTCTATTACTTTAAATACTAATCTTAGAAAATTATTTTAGTAAGAAAAAATAGTTTATTTGCTTCGAAGTCAAATTAAAGAAATACTTTCCCTAAATAAATAATTCTTAGAAGTATTTTTTGTAACTTGGGATACACTACTAAATACAAATTTTAGTAACAACTCCTACTAAAAAATGCAATATTTTTTTATATATGTATAAAACGCCATTTAAATTATAGTTATTTTATTGGAAGTAAAAATTAATTGAACTTCCAGGACATCAATATGTGGAACACATGCCACAACGACGGTGAAAACAGGGATAAAACAACAACAGCAACAACAACAGCAGCACCAAATAAATTAATTAATAAAAAGGCAATTGGTCGACATCGAGGGACGAAAGGGACCGAACTGAAAAATGGGGTTGACGCTCAGGTTGGCCAGCCTCGTTTTTTATTATTTAATTTTGATTTAAAAATTTCCCGTAAATATTTAATACACTCTGGCGATGGCAGCGAAAAAAATGGGAAAAGTAAAAGATATGACCGCGAAAAAATCGGTTAAAAAAAGACACTCATATTTATTGCGATTTAAGGACAAGGGAGCTTGCTAGCCTTAAATATAATAATTTGTTACATTCACATTTAATCTTAAGTCCTCTTAAGTATTTTTTAAAGTGCCGCCTCGTTTATTGTACTAGTTCCAGTAATGTTATTCAATTAAAATGCAACCACATAATGGAATAATTAAATGGCCATCATTTTGATGGGAACTTATGTCGCCCGATCAAATGTCAGGCGCAATTGATGTCCTGCTGGCCATAATGTACAGACGTGCCAGTTCGACAAAACGAAGTCAGGTGTAATTAATGCATATTAATGGAAACTTGTGTTAATTAAATGTGACCTACAGAACGCACACAGAATTCGCTCTGGCCAACTTTCTTGATATCTCGATTTTATATATGTATATGTCTATATAAAATGCTATATGTATATATAGCATACTTATATGGGCGACAAGTTGGCACGAGGCGAATTCCCCACTGCACTTGCTTTAAAGTAATTCAATCAAATAATAACAACAAATAAGAAAAGCAAAGAAGAAAAATCGAAAAACTGTGATATGAATTTCCGTTGAGATATTTTATTTTATTTGATTTTATTTTTTTTTTTTTTTTTTTTTTTTGTTTGCTGACCAGCAGCATCGTTCGTTGTCGTCAGCGCGGCTCTCTTTGCATTTCGATCAATTTTATTAATAATTCAATCAGTCAAAAAATTATTTGAACCGCCCCAAAGGAAAACAAAAAAGTTTCGACGCCGGCAGAGGCCGCAGCAGAGGAAGTGGGGCTTTCGCTTGAGGGTGCTGAGGGTGGTGGAGAAAGCGGGATGTGAAAGTATGGAGAAACGACGGGACGCGGAAGTTGGCATTGAGCTTGAGGTTTGGGCTTTCCCTAGTTGATATCTTGGCACACCGAGAAAAATGGCTTGGCAAAGTTTGTTAATATATTTTATAATTTATATATTTAAAATTTCAATTCTATGCGTTAATGATCGTTATATATTTCATGCTTTAAAGTTTTTTTAAAGAGTAAACGAATAAATAGCGTGATATAAAATCTTAGTTCTTAGTGTAGTTTTTCCGAAGAAATATTAAGAAACACATTTTTTTGTGTGCATCCATATTCTTTCCCATTTCCCACAGACTTTTCTTCTCTGATTTGTGCAGTCGCGACTTTGGAGACAGAGAAAGTAGAAAGTGAGCTAGAGAGAGAAGCAGATGAAACGTGGAACATTGCGAGTTATTTGCACAGTAAGGAAATATATAAAAAAAAATATATATATCAGAGCCAGGGAAAAAAGCAAAAACCAAAAGTAAATCAAAACGACAAACAAAACAAAACGAGACGCTACGCACACCCCCTCATCGCCTCTCCTCTCCCTTTCATTTCCTCACCCTGTCTCTTTCGCTCTGCTCTCCAAAATGAAATAATTCCATTAGTACAATTTCTTTTGCAAGTACAAAGAGTAAATATTGAGGAGGTCTATGAAAAAGGGGGAAGGGGGAGGGCCGCAGAGGATTGATAAAGTGGAGGTGGGGGGGAAGGAGAAAAAGAGGGCTGTGTGCGTGTGTGTAGGCCTAATGTATCTGTTTGTGGTTGAGCTTACAAGTGTGTGTGTGATGCTGACCCAATAAGTAACTCCCCAATTAGTAGTATTCCATACCCCTTTTATGCATTACCCACAGATTACTTAACTCATTACCACTGCAGTGTTTTATCTTTCTTTATAGTCATTTAACCATACTTTTAACTTTTTCATAACTTGTATATCCTTATCCTTTTATCAATCTACTCAGTTTTCTTGTTTACTTTATTTCTGAAATATTTTGCAAAAACTTTTTATAACCACACTTTTACAAAACTAATTGACACTTCACCCTTTAATTCACTTAACCGCATTTAGCCACTGCATTAATTGTGCAATTAAATTTCGACCATTTGGCAAATAGTTTTGGCAAACCAACAAATTCCAGCAAACAGAAATTAACCCCAACTTATCCCCCCTTTCCTTTCCCTCTTTCCGCCCAGTCTTCCTGTCCCTTTTCCTCCCGTTGTAATTCCCACTGGATGTTGCGGACTCTGCTGTAGCAGCACAAAATTTCTGCACAAGTTACCAAAAATTTATTTAACTTTCAATTAGACAATTGAAAACAACAATTGATGAGAATGAAGCAGTGGAAGAGGAAAAAGGGGACAGATGATATCAAAGTGAAATAAAATTCAGAGTAAATTAATTAGTTATTTGCGTTTTAGGAGTTTACTCATTAAGGATATTCTTTTATTCTTTTGATTTGCATATTAGAAGTATTTATGCTAAAATATTTAGTTAATAGAAAAGTTAATAACTTCATATTCAAAAAGATTTTTAACAATCTTTTTCTATTTGTGTATGTAGGGATTTCACAAATTATTGTATTCCATTTTGTTGAAAATCAAAAACGCAAATTCAATCAAATCTGCACAACGACAATAAAAACAGCAACAATCAATCAATTTGGAGATAACAAGTGCTGCAACAACAACAACAACAACAGCGGTGTAACCACAGTGAAAACCAACAACAATGGAAATGCTGAAAGCGGCCAATTAAAAAATATACGCGAAATCGGAACACAAGAGCAAGCAAAACGCTGGCAGGAAGAAGGATGGGGAAAGGAAGGAAGATGGAAGGACGCAGGACAGGACACCACCGCTAATTAGCACCATGGGGAATTTGTTGCTGCCGGAGCACACGAAGAAGAAGAAGAAGCAGCAGCAGCACCACCACTTGCGTAAGCAGAAGAAGTCGAGTTGCCAACTTGTGCAAACATCAAAGAGCAGCGAATTCAGTGGGTGAAGGTGGACGAAGAGAGAGGGCGAGGGGGAAAGTGGGCGAGGAGAACAAGGAATTATGGCATGCACATATGCAAAGAGAATGCACATTAAAAAAAATATTTAATTGATTTAGATATAGGTTGTTAGGTTGTATATTTTTATAACACCTCAAGTAACTGTTATTTGGGATTTTTTTGTAATACTGCTTATATTCATTTATTGTGTTACCTATTTTTTAGATCTTCGTTTTCTTTAGTTTATTTATAATTGTTCATACTTGAAGTTTTTTATTCGTTTAGTGCACTTGTTGTGAGATTGATTATCTAAGATTAGAAAAATCCCTCTCAGCTAAAAGATATTTCTCTCAGTGCAACCAGACCGAGCAGATAGTGAGCACCGTATAATTGTAAATACAGTTAATATGAACGTCGCTCAGCGGCAGAGGAAGCAAACGCTTTGCTTGGCACTTTTAATTTACGAAATGGTGTTGATTTAACGGCAAAGGCGACGCTGGCTCAAGAGAAACGGAGCAGGGTGGGAAAAGGGAAGCTGGGGAATGGGAAAAGCGGGGAAAGCAGCATCAGCGGCAGCCCAACACAAAAGAAAATTGAAAATACAACAAAAAAGTAAAGTATATTTTATTCCGGGCAATTGTGGCCGTCATTTCACTGGAGCCCTAAAAGTGCACATGTGTGTAAGTGTGTGAATGCACTGAGAAACAAAATGTAAAGAAAATCAAAAAAGAAACAAAAAGTATCAAATCTATCCACATACATACAAATAATAGAGTTAATTATTACATTATATTTCCTCAGAAACAAATTTTTATATGTAATCATAAAGTTTCTCTGTGTGTGAATCCTTGCTTTTGGACTATTTTCTCTGATTAATAACAGACAGAGAAGGAAGCCCAGAGAGGAAGTGAGATAGACTGTGCGCCAGCGATAATCAAAAGGGTGTGCAATTTTAATTGAGCAATTTAATTACATATGTAAGCAAAAGTCTCAGCCAGAATGAGAAAGAGATAGAGCAAGTGAAAGAGAGAAAGCGGTAGAAGAAGAATCCACACACACACAGACACATAATTAGCAAGCAAGCAGATGCTGTTTCACTCTTTCTATCTTTCATCGGGTTTGTGTAAGTGTGTGTGTGTGTGTTGACTCATTGGCTTTTGGTTGGATTATTTTTTGGGCTTTTTCGGTTTCGGCAAGTTTAAGTTTAGGTTTAAGTTGGTAATTAGTTTGTCAGCGCCCAAATGCAAGCAATACTTTTGGTTGCCTTTTGACTTTGTCATTTAGTTTAAATTGGGATTGGAAAAGGTTACCAGTTTAAAAAACAGTTAATAATCTCTAAAAAATGTTTTCGTTTTTCTTTTATAAATTGTAAGATTTACGTATACTTTTTTAGATTATAAGTCTGACGAATGATTCCCTTCAAAAGATAACAAGATGCATTGAATAAGCCAAACCATTTCAGCTTTTGACAGCGGTAATCCGACCAACACTGAGAAATGGCTCGTTAATATTTCCCCCCATCTCTTTTAATTTCATTGGGGGATATCAACAATCAAAGCGGAGCAGTTGGACCCCACCCACCCACTCCATTTCCCCATTGCAACGGTGTTCCCTTTATGCATTGCATACGGGGCAATTAGAAAGACGCGTTTACCGCTACACTAAAAGAAAAGTTCTTAAATCCTAAAGCTGAACAAAAATGTAAGTTAGTTAACAACAATAATGACTGATACAAATAATACAACATAAAAACTGTGGACTTTATTTTATCTTGTGATTTATATTTACGATTTATTATTAACTACCATCATTATTTATTCAAATACCAGTAACAAGTAGCACCTTTTATTAGTAAACATATTAAAATTGCATCCTGTCAACATATAGATTCCTTGAGATTCGTTGCACTTTATTTTTCTGTGTGTCCTTCACCCAGGTTGACACATTTTGAGCGGGCCGAAAAACTCTCGACCTGGCCAACAAATGGCGAATAATGGCGGCTGAACGGATGGATTTCGGAGGTGGGGGCGACATTGGACAGATGGATTGGATTCGAAAATGGGGTGGGGGCTTTACGTACGCTGGCCAAAAAGTGAGATTGGGTGGGCGAGAGCTTACGAATTGTGAAATGCGAGTGAGTAATTATGATTTACTAATTAGCAAACACACTCGCAGCGAGAGCCGCAAAACTGACAAACTGCCAGGCAAACAAATTGGCTGCGGATGTGGGGGAAGGGGGAGGGAGGGGGGCGAAAGGGTACGGGTCTAAATGCGGACGCGGATGCGGATGCGGATGTGGATGTGGATACGAAAGCGAATTGGCGGCTAATGCGCTGGACAAACAAAAATGAAACACACAGAAGAGGAGCCACAAGCCTGAGACATACACACACACACACACAAACAAAAGTCTATTAATTAGCTGCACCAACAGGGGGGTTATACATCACCCCCTTCCCCCTTGTAAACTCGCTCCCCTTTTCCAGCGTCGCTGTAACCCGTGTAACGAGGATTTGCTCATCAAATTCGCTAATTGTTTTTGCTTTGGCCAACGCAAAACACACTTACACAAACACACACACACACACACGGACACCGAGGACCCACCCCCTTCCCCTCGAAAAAAAATCCAGGGGTGTAGCAGCGTGTACGCGAGTCCAAACAATTAGCGTAATTTCAATTTTGTTCAAAATTTCATAAACGGCGGCCAGTCTTTTGCAGCAAGTGACTTTTGCAGCAGGAGTGCATCGTATCCAATGAAAACCCTCCCCCAACACACCCACCCCACCCCACTCCACCCACACACCGAAGCGCCCCCCTTTGCATTACGCGCCCCTGGGACATTGTGGCATTTAAGCCGCGCTGCAGCGTGTTGCATACTTTTGGCCGCTTTTTGACAGCCAACCCACGAAAAATGGTGCACAAAACATCAAATTGCATTCGGGCAAAAAAGAAAGGAAAGGAAAGGCAAAATAGCCCTCACCCATCACGAAATCAACCCGACCACTTCTTATTTCGTTTACTTTCCATCAACATAATGCACAAAAGAGCAACAGGGAGAGCGATCACTTAAAATGCAATGAACAAATTAATAAACAACAACAATAACGGCGTGTCACCAGTTTAATTGCCCAAAGAGGATAACGGAACACACACTCACACACACAGCAGAGGGTAAAACAATAGTGGTGGTGATGAAGAGCGGAATACATACGAAAAATAAAACCAATCATAATTAGGATTTGATAAGTTAAGAACTTAAAATGCATTTCACAAAATACATCTTTGGATAAATTATAAAACTAAATGTAGCTAAAATAAATAAATTTGATTTTACATTTCTTCGCTGATATGGTAAAAAAAAAAATCCTTAAAATTAACTTGAAAACAAAGTTATTATTTTTAATTTCCAACACATTTAATATATTGTAAAGGGTATTTACCCTTACATTATTTTTTTTTTTTCATTAACACCTTCAATTTATTTAATTGCAACACTATTATTTTGCTGGCAATTGTGTGGAGGGGGCGGGGGCCTCTCTTTCCCTAGGCAATGCTTTCAAATTTAGTTTTTGGCGCTCTTTTTTTCGTGTTTTTGGATGCTTTGGCTTCTTTGGCTACCTTCTGTTTTTTCGTGTTTTTGGGTTGTTGTTTCACACACAAAAAGAATTTTTAACTAACACAAAATGGCTGTTGATTTGTATGAGAATAGAGGGGGAGAGGGGGGCGAAGTATGGGGAAATGTGGAGTTGGAGGCGTGGCATATAGGTTGAGGGCGGGATATAGGTATATTCTCTGGGGTCCTGGCTGGGGATTAGTGCGTTATTCGGTTTCATCGCACCCTTTTGCCGAAAGTTCAATTGCAATCTTGTTGCCAATGTTGCTGTTACTGCTGCTTTTGTTTTTGTTTTTGCTGTTGCTGTTGTTGCTTTTGCTTTTGTTGGGGTAAATGGTAAATATACACCGCACAACAGAAAAACGCAGATTGTACACTCACCGATTCTTTTCCTGCAAGCCTGCACAGAGAAAAATCAGTGATTTCACTCAGAAATAAAGGTCAAATTTTTGACTTTGCTTGTTTTTAGTTTGTAAAAATCTGTTTGAATTGTACGTTACTTTTAGGACATTTAAAAAACTTTATAAGTTAATAATTTTTTCTTGTCTCACAGTAGAAGCAATTTTAAACAGCTTTTAAAATCATGTGATAAGCGTTCATTTATTTTGTAAGATTAATTTAAATGTATGTAGAGTTTTAGGGTAAATTACTAAAAAGGCACTCCTAAAATTGTAAGGGTAAATACAAAGTTGCGAACTTTTTCTTTGAGTGCACACATCCTGCATATCCTGTCCGTTGCCTTCTGCTCTTTGCTTCGCCTGTTGTTGTGTGCTTCTTTTTTCCTGCTCTTGTTTTTCGGTGTGCGTTTGGTTTATTAATGTTGACCGTCAATTATGTTTTAATTGTCATAAAAGGTTTGTCCCTTTTGACTCATTCCCCCAAAGGCGGGGGGATAAACAAGTGGAGGGTGGAGAGGGGGGAGTGTTGTGGGTGGCAGGATATCTCCGACACACGTGTACGTGAGAATATGTGTGTGTGTGTGTGAGAGAGTAGAGTGTATGCAAACAATAAAATCCAACTGGGATAAGCTGCAGCAGAGCGAGAGGGAAGATGGCGAGCGGAACAGAAGTTGCTTGTCAACATGGACAAAGGATATGCGAGTGTTCACATGTGTGTATGTGTGTGTGTGCCAGTTGACAGGTGAGTGTGTGTGTGTGAGATGTTGCTGCTGTTGTCCTGTTGATGTTGCTGCTTCGATTTGGTTTTCCGGTTGTCAGGCAATTTGCCAACTTACTGCAAAGATCAGCACAAAGTGTAACCCACACAAAGAGAGGGCAAAAGTGACACACGCAACGTGTGCGGAGAGTTCAGGGGAGAATGGGGAGCCAAAGGGGGAGGGGGAGGGGGAACAGGGGGAGTTGGGAGCTCAGAGGAGAAGGGGAGGGCGGGATCAAGAATCCTTGCGCTTCTTTTCCATCGTTTCATTAATTGAATTGAATTGCATGGCGACTGCAAGTGACACAATTCCACTGTGCGGCCAAAAATACACAGTGGATCATACGAAAAATAAGGAAGCAAGGTATTTAATATTTTAGTTTACTGAATATCAAGTTTTTTTTAATCGCTTACTTAACTGCAATTTGTAATCACATAATTAATTTGGAGTTTTTAACATATAATTAATTTGACAATAATAAATTGTAGTTAAGTAAACTCTTTGGCAAAACAAAATATTCAAATAAAATAAAACAAGAAGCGTTTATGAGATCGACAAGAAAACAGAAAGGCGAGGATTTCCGGTGAAGTATAAATTATTAAACCAGTTAACAACAAACCGGAAAAAAAGGACAAGGATGCGAATGTGTATGACAGGGGATTAATGCACCGTTTAAAATATATGGCAGATTGACGACGTCAGAAAAGCGCGCTCCTGCATTTCCAATTTTCCACTTTTCCACTTTTTTAAACACCAGCTCTTTTTTTTCGTACATTTGCTGTTGGCCGATGTGCGCTGATGCCAATTTATGAAATTTATTTTTTGCCTACGTTGTGATTATTTATTCAAAAAGTTGGCCTCGGCTAGCGTCTGGTGGCTTTTGCACAGCCCCCTCCTCCTCCTCCTTTCCCTTTTCCCCTTTCTCCTTTCCCCCTTTTGCTCCTGCAGACATTTTGCATACAGGACTCTCTACCTCCTTTTGGTGTAATTGCAATTGTTGTCAGTGGGCGGGTAAATAAATTAATAACACAATTTATGCATGACGCACATTTATAATTACATTTGGAAATAATTTAATTAAAATTGTTAACGCTTGATTGAAGTTAAATCGAATCGGAAAGGACAGACGTAAACGGGGAAATGTGTGGGTGCGAGCGAGATGGCGAGGTCCTTACAAAAGTGACTTAATTAAATTAGCCCATCAATAAGGGACATAATATAATAAAATGCCAACAAACTGACCAATTGCCATATCGGCCAACCGAAATCAGTATCTCACTCCGTCCGTCGAGGTTCACATATTTTAGGAGTATTTCCGGTGCAGGAAAAGGACATTCATGTTTTGGGTGAAAGGAAGTGGGGGGATTTGGCAGGAGCAAGGAGGTTGGTTGGTTGTGCGGTTGCTCAAATAAACCGATCAGCAGTAACGGTAATTAAAAGCCAACCAAATGTCCAAATAAGCCACACCAAAAAAAAAAAAAAGAACAGGAAAGGAAAGGACATACGAAATGAGGCAACGAGTGTGTTGTATGCTGATGGGAATCTTAGAAAAATAATACAAGCTAACCGAGTTTTTCAAGGGTCGAACATGGAATACTCCCCATAAAATATATCATAAATTAGGAATGCAGATTATGATCTTTTTTATTAAATATGTTATTAACAATCATATTCGTTGATCACTTCAAATTTAATTATGTTTGCTAAAGCTTACCCTTAATAATACCCTATTAATTCCAGGGTATCATAGGGAAAACGCTAATAGCTGATTGAGAATTCGAACTGCAAGACCACAAGACACACACACACACCCACACACAGTTACAGGTAGATAAGGCTAAAGCACACACTCGCATATGTAAGCAGTAAATCAACATGAGAACGAGAGCACACAGATACAAAATGTGTGTAAATATGTGTTGGTTTATGCCCACAAATCAATTAAGTCGATTGAGGCAACATTTTCGGGTGGTAATACAAGCGCACATACACACACACTAACACACACGCACACACGTGGAGAAGAAAACGGTAAAGAGTTGTTAAGCGCTCAAATGACACATGCAAAAGAGGGGAAAAAGGACTCAAAAGAACCGCGAAGCTGAGTCCTACCACTGCAATCCGTTCGGAATGCAAAGGACCAAAATGGAGGAGAGCTCTGACTCCCGACTGACTCTCAAAAGTAGGCAACAATAACAGCTAATAAATGGCGGAATTAATATAAAAAAAGATTTTTTTTTAATTTTTTAAAATGCAAGTCAAATGCACACAAAATTAAACCGATTTAAAATGCAGGAGTAGCTTTCCAACTTCCGATCAGTGGTGATAAATATTTATTTAACTTCAGCTCGGTACTTCTGAAATTGTCTTGATCACAATTTACCCTAAATAATTGCAAGATATTAAAATAGCAAATAAATAGCTAAATAGAGATAAGAAAATCAATTGAGAAGTCCTAAGATTAAATGTTTTAGAAATAAAAAACAAATATATGCCTAATTCAAGTAATATTTTAATCTTTGAGCAAATAAATAATAATAACTATACATTTTGTGATAGCTACTTTAAAGCTTTCAAATATAAAAATAAAAAAAATATATTAAATCAATTGAAAATTCAGTTTTCGTTAATGAAATACTAGTGGAAATATTTATCCAGCTGCAATTTGTTCTTTTGCGGAATTTCAAATCGAAAACCTAATTAAAATTGGTAAATCAAATAGGATTCAAGGGCTTGAAAATGGCCAATTAGTCGGCACAGCCGACGAGTGAAACCGAATCCGAATCCGCATCCGAATGCGAATCCTTGGCCGAAGGACGACGACGAGGAGCGCGGCCCGTTTGCCTTTGACAGCCGGGGAGTATAAATACCGGAGACGCACGGCTGTCGGTCGTCAGTTCGCCAGTCGACTTCTCCCTTTGGACACGCGACGTTCGTCCTTTGAAATCCTTGAAAGTCCAACCGCCGAAAATCTCGCAACTTTCACTGCGGTGTTTCCTTTTTTTCTCTTGTTTGTTTTGTTTGGTTATTGTGATTGGGGGTTATAAAAAAAAAAAGGAGAAAATGTTTACAAATTGGCTGACGGGCAGCAGCACGCCGGCAACCCGCTCCTCGTCTTCGTCGTCGTCGTCGGGAATCGGAGGAGGAGCCGCCGGCAGCGGAGGATCGGGCGGAGGAGTCAATGCCTCCGCTCTGGTCATGAGCTCGCCACCGGACGTGATCCTCGAAGTGGGTCCGGCACCCAGCAGCGTTCGGTTCGTGGCCCACTCCCTGGTGCTCGGGATGCACAGTGGCTACCTGCGATCCGCCATTCGACTGGACGAGCCATCCGGACCAGGAGCAGGAGCAGGAGCAGCGGCTCCAAATCCAAATGCCAATGCATCGGCCACAACGGCGACGGGCGAACTGCTGCTATATCTGGGCAATGTCACCGCCGATCAGTTCGCCCCGCTGCTAACCTATATGTACACGGGCTATCTCGACCTGACCGTCGACAATATCTTCGCCGTTTTGCTGGCCACCCATGTGCTGCACATGCCGCGAGCCGTGGAAATCTGCCGGTGCGTTGGGGCTTCAACTAGAATCCTTAAATGTCACATAGGAAGAAAGGAAGAGGTCTTGGCAAGCTGAAGCTTGAAATTCATATCCATTCGATGAACTTCCCAAAACCAAAGGGTCTGGGAAAGTTGTAACTTGAAATCCATATCAGTCCAACAATTCTTTTTGGAAATTAGAAGGATTTATATATTGTTATAATTGGTTCAAGATATTTTTCTTTGAAAGGGAATCCAATTAGTACTCTTTAAAGTAACAAGAAACTTCCTTAGTGCCTTTTAAAACCAGCAACTCCAACTAAATAAATAAATATTGCGAAAGGGGAAATTAAAAAATATTTTTTGAACAGACTTAACGATTTACAATCGTGAAAAGAATTGAAATATAATTCCATGCTCAATGAGAATACCCTTTAAAAATTTGTGTAAAAAACAACTAACAAATGGTAGGGAAATGTTTATGGCATAGATAAAAAAATAAATACTACAATAAGTAAACACCTTCCGCTTTGTTAATTTTGCATCTTGATTTTGCAGCTCCTTTTTGGCGCGTGCCCAAACGGAGGGCTATCTGAACGGGAATCCCGGCCAGCTGTGTCCCGTCACCAGCATCCCGGCCAAGGTCATCCGCCCGATTCCCAGCAAGGCAACCATGCCGAATTTCGGTTTCCTGCCCATGCCACAGGCACCCATGCGAGATGCAACCCATTCCCATTCCCATTCGCATTCCCATTCACATCAGCAACCTCAAACACAATCGGTGATTGCCGCCTCGCTGGGTTCCTTCGGTGGCAGCTGCTCCACCTTCATGGACAAGGGCTCCTCCTCGCCGCCGCCGCCGCAGGACAACGAAGCGGATGCGGAGGAGGACGAGGACGTGGAGGTGTTCATCGACAGCAACACGGCGACGGACAACGAACTGGATCCCGAGCCGGACGTCGACATGGAGTGCAACGTTTCGGTGGTCTCCTCTCTGGCCGGAAGCAGTGCCGGCAGCCTAAATATCGAACGCTTGGACGTGAAGCCAGCCACCCCAACGCCTGTCATCATCCATGCACCCAAATTGCCACTCCAGCAGCCAAAAGTGGCGAATCCAAAGCAAAGGGAGGCGACAGCGACAAAGGGCAGCAAGGGAGCTGGCAAGTCGAGATCGAGGAAATCCTCCAGTGGCCTGCAGGTGGCCAAGGCACCGGTTCCAGCGGCCCAATTGGAAATGGCAACGAGTGGTGGTGGTGGTGGTGGTTCCACCACTGCCATAACTCCCTCGAAATTCATCATCGATGTGGCCAGTTGCGATGGACCGGTGCGCTTCCGAAGGATTCTGAACACAGCGTATGGCCACAAGCCGGAGGGTTTCGATGCCGGATCGCTGGGCGCTGGCACTTCGTCGGCGTCGTCGTCGTCGGTGGGTGGCAATGGCAGCTCGTCCGCTTCGTCGGCGGCGGAGCAACAGCATCGCAGCCAGCAGAGCGTTAGCTACTCGTTTCATCAGCAAATGGCAAGGGCAATCAGCAGCCAGCAGCGGCAGTTGAGCCACCAGCAGCAGGAGGAGAGCGAAAACAGTGGCGATGCAGCGGCAGGAGCAACACCAAGCAGCAATGGCAGGCAACCAGCAACAGGAGGCATTGCATCCACTACTTCCTCTTCGAACAACAACAACAACACAACAACTTCTGGTGGCAGCAGCAACAGTAGAAAGCAATCTTGCTCCTCAACTGCAACCAGCAACAGCGGCAACCATGAGCTGTATGTCTGCGTCTACTGCAAGCACACATTCAAATCGCAATATTGCTACCAGAAGCACGCGAAGCGTCACCTAAATCCATTGAGTTTAACCACGGCGGATAAGAAACTGCTGACGGAGCCGGGAAGTTCCCTGGCCAACAATCTCGAGTTGGACAACCAGCAGGGTCAGAGTGCAACGGTGGGTGCCACAGGAGCAGCAGCAGCAGCAGGGGCAGCAGGTGCAACAGCTGCAACGGCAGCAGCAACATCGGCGTTGCTGCGCCGCGAAGTTCGTCCGCTCGACATGAATGTGCAATATTATCCCTGCAAAACGTGTGGCAGCAAGTTTCCCAGCTACTATTTCGTGCACAAGCATCGCAAAATGTGCCATGCGGATGAAATCGAGGCGACTGCCACGAGCAACACGAGCAGCAACAACGGTAGCAGCAACACGAGCAGCAGCAGCAGCAGCAACAGCAGCAGCAACAACACAGCAACCACCGGCAACGCGAAACGCGAGGTGGCAGGAGCAACAAATCCCGGCGAGGATCAGCAGGAGAAGAAACCACAACAGCAAAAATCCTAAACACCTATCCACAATGCACTCGAAAAAGAAATCAAAGCAACGAAATCTACGAATTTATATACACAAATCACACAACACACACACACAAGCTAATGTTTTTTTTTTTGTCGCTCTAGAAATGCAATCGAATTAATAAAAAGTATTTCAAAAATCATAATGGCGAACAGAGAATATAGGTGAAAGAAAAACGATTAAGAATATATATAAAAAGAGAAATTTGTTAAATGTGGCAACAGGTAAAATGAGCGAAGAATTTAAATGCAAACCAAATAATTGGTCGATAAATGAAGTTAGTTATCGTTCGTTCATCGAATATATCGAATTTAAACATCGCAATTATAGATTTGAATTAAATTCAATCTATAAATAAGAACTTTAAAATACTTGTTGAACTTCGTTGCAGAATCAAATAAGCAACACTGAATAAAATGCTTTTGGCTCGGAAATCCTTTTGTTGCAAATAGACTATCGAAATTATCGACGTTCTCCAAACAGCCTCGCCAACTTGATCCACTTTTTTTTTGTTTTTGTATGCACCCTTTTTGAAAAACCAAGAGAAATTGAAATGCGACTGGGAGGAACCGAAGGGCTACGAAGGTAAACAATCCTTGGCGCAATTTAATAATTAAATTAAATCACTTGCATAATAAAAAAGACGTTTACAAAAAAGACTTTAATTTAATTGAGTTTAATTAACTCGCCAGGGAGATGACAGCCCACAAGGCCGAAGTGAAGCGAAGATGATGATGATAATGATGATGATGATGGGTGGTGGTGGTGGGTGGTTTTTCTCGAGTGGGTGGTTTAAGTGGGAGGCTGTTGGGCGGTGGTGCAAACAAAACCGCAAGCGGCCGAAAAACGTTGAGCGGAACCGCAGAAAATGAGGAAAAAAAATTATGAAGCGAAAAAAAAGAAATCAGAGAAGCCACCAATTGAGCTACTCTTTCTTCCACTTCTTCTTCTTCTACTTCTTCTTCTTCTTGTTTCACCTCCTTTGGGGCTTTTCCCCCGCATCTCCTGTCAACTCTTTTTGGCTTTGGACTCTCGACTTGACTTGACTTGAGGCTATATGGCTATATAACTCGCCAGCTCAGTGTTATTTCTCCGTTTTGTATATTCTTTTTCCTTTCTTTTTTTTTGATGAAATATTAATCGAAAGCGCTGGCAGCGCAAACAGAGTCCAAGGAAACCGGAGTGATAGAGCGCCAGTCTTCTGATTGGATCAGTGGCGGATCCACGGGGGGGAAATTAGGGAAATTTCCCCCCCTTGGAACCACAGAACCTGAAAATTTTACTTGTTTGCTATGGTTGACTTTTCAAATATAAACACTTTGTTTACCAAAAAATTGGGATGGATAATTTTTGTTTTATAATTTGTACTGTATTTCTCTCGCAATAATAAGTTTGAACTCCGAATCGAAGAATAAGTTCAATTTCCCCCCAAGAATCGTCTCTGGATCCGCCACTGGATTGGATTGAAGGGGTGGGGGGTGGTGGCGAGGTCACCGGGTGGATTTGGTTTGATTAAACGTCACAAAGGAGGCGACTGCAGCAAGCAAATTGCAGTCGTCATTGGCGGGAAATGCATTTTTGATAAGCTCAATTAGGGGAGGGGGCAGAGTGAAGGGATATATTAACATATCTCTGTTGGGCTGCCATGTACAACAACATGAGCTTCAACAGGTTAACAGAGAGCTTTTCAGCTGTCAGGAGGTCCTGGTCCGAAAGCTGCTCTATGATCAACTTTCGAGCTTTGAAGGTCCTGCGGCAAAAGCTGAGGTTAAAGCTTAGTCCACCAGAATCTATTTATGGACAGCTAAAAGCTCACTAAGCTTAAAAAAGCCGCTTTTCATCGCGGTTCATAATTAAATTAAATACTTCTTTAAATTTCTGAAATTGGAAATTTCACATGCACCTTTTTTTTAAAAAAAACCATAAAAAAAATGTTAATTAGCTACTGAAATAAATGAATTCACAAAAAAACTTAAATAAATTCAGCTAATTTATCTTCATCTTCAGTTTAAATTTCTTAAACATCATAACCTTTAAGTTAACCATAACTAATCCCGAATTTAATTTAAATGCCAATTAAAAAGTCAACCTAAAACTTTTTGGATTAATTTTTTAAAACTCAACTGGAATTTCTTGAAGATGGAAAGTAATATTCAAAGTTTCTATAAAATCCTATTAAAACGATAATCAACAATTGAATGATTCTGTATCTTAGTGGAAAGTTGAAGGATCAAATATGGTAATATTATATTTCATATGGGAATAGTATATAGCTATATATTCTAGACAATGGCGGGCACTTACCTTTGCCGTCGAGGGCGAGGATGTCGGAGGCGTTGACCATCGAGTTGCCGCTCCCATCCGCCAGAAGAGGCATGGAAATCGCCGGAGCGGTGGCCGTGGTGGTCGCCGTGCTCAGGGATGAGCCGCCCGAGGCGGTGGACATGACGGAGGCGGCGCTGATCAGCAGCATGGAACCGGAGGAGGCCGCCGATGCCGCTGCCGCTGCCGTCGATGTGACCACCGAAGCAGAGGAGGCGGAGGGCAGCGATGCCTTGGCCATCGCGGCATCCTTGGCATTCGCCTTCAATCCGTGGCTATTGCCGATCGAATTGGCCGACGTGGCGTTCCCAGTCGCCTCACCGGAGTTCACATCGAAGCGCTTCCTCTTCGACTCACTGCAAAATCGAAAGAGACGGCAATAGTTAGTCGTCATATGGATCACATTTAGTAAATACTTGGGATAACTGAACTAAAATGCTCAATAAATTTATTTATTGTTGAATGGAATAATTTAAACTAATTAAAAGGAGCTTATGCATGCATATGATGGGTTATTCTGTACTTTTCAATTTACAATAACAAGAACTGGCCAAACAAGGCGGTAAATCTTGGGTAATTACTTTATAAGACAATGTTGCAAGGTTAACTAACTAAAAACTCATTTAAATCTGTAATAAATACTCGTAGTAAGACAATGCAAAGAATAAATACAATATAATAAATTAAAACAATAGCAAATACATAAATAAAAAAAATGCAAATGTTAACTTGAAACACTCGAGATAATAAGTTTGATATACATAAATTGATCATCTTTAGAAAGATAAGAATAATCATGATAAATTTTTAAAAAAAATATTAAGATAATGCACTCCAAAATCATTAACACCTTCTATATATATTTACAACTTTCAATTGATTATAAAATCATTTAGTGCTACAAATAAATATCAAAACAGCTCACCTAACATCCGAGTGCAGATCGTTGCCGGCGCCCAAGCCCTCGACTTGGGCGGCCTTCAGTTTCTGGCCAAGATAGTTGCCCGCCGTGGTGGCGGTGTGGGCAAAAGTGGGCACTCCACCAGCACCACCAGCACCACCACCTTCACCCGCCGCCGTCGACGAGGTGGAATTGGCAGGAGTCCGCGATGTTGGCGGCGTTGTCTTGACGATTTTATCGCCGGCTGTGGCACCCGCCGCATTCGTCGCCGCTCCAGAGCCAGGTGCTCCGCCGCCACCGCTCGTGGATTCCTCGGCGCCGGGAGTCGCCTTCACGTTGGCCATGACCACCGGCTGGTAGCCCGGCTTGAAGCCATTCAAGGTCACGCCCTGCGGCGGAGCAGCCGTTGCTGTTGCATTGCTCGTTGCACTGCCACCGGTTGCTAAAATAATTGGAATAGTTAATAAGCGATCTCTTCAAATGCATCCATAAATTAGTATTCCATTGTTATTATGCCAACATTAAAGATTTACATTTAAAATACGTCATTCAATTGGGAAAACTATCTTCTATTGGAAATAGAAACTACGCTTTTGCACTGAAAATTATTTGGAAATGAAAACTAGCTTTGGGTACTCGATTTTTAAAAGTACAGAAAGATAAGAGAAATTACGTAATATAATATAAATATTACACAATGAACAAGATTTATAAACTGGCACTGATTTTGATAATACATTACTATACAATTAATTTAGTAGTTATTAGTAGAATTAAAGAATTATCAATTTAGTTTAAAATTAAATCAGTTTAGTACTCTAATTTCAGAACTTTTCATATTAAGTTCAGTACTCTGTTACCTTTACTTCTCTTTTAAAATTGATTAGCTATTGCAAAGTTAGGTTTTTACTATTCATTAATTTTAAGAACTAAACCAACTTTGCATAAGTTAGTTTACTCACACCATTGCCTCGAGTTTTCCTTAAATTAAACGCTCTAATTGAAACATGAACCGAACATTTGCGACAACAAACTTGGCATAATCTAATGGAATACCCCACTCCACTCGCTTTTCATCGATCGTCGATCGTTTGGATCGCTTGGATCGCTTAAATCTAAACCCACCATTGTAGCCCTCGGCATTGTGGGCCTTCGTCTGGCCGCTCTTGGCCAGCGGATCGATGGATTCGCCGCGGCCATCGGCTCCCTTGGCCGCCGTTCCCGCCGAAGGTTCCGTTGCGGTGTCCGCCTTGCCAGCTCCCTTCGCTGCGGAGGTGGCTGTGGCTCCCGTTGCCGTCGTCGCTCCCTCGCCGGCACTCGCTGCACTGGCTCCGCTGGCCACCGGTGTGCCCACGGTTGCCACAGTGGCTGCTCCTGCTGTGGCGGCAGCCGCCTCCTCTTCGGCGGCCTTGCTCTTCGCCTCGCCGCCCGCTGAGATCTCTGGTGGTTGTGGTGGTGCTGCTCCCGCAACTGCTGCTCCTCCAGCTGCTGCTCCTCCAGCTGCTCCTCCTGCTGCTGCTCCTCCTGCTGCTCCTGCGGCTGCTGCTCCTGCTGAAGGAGTTGCTCCCCCTGCTATCGCATTCTTCTCACTCACCGCCGCTTTGCCAGCATCCGTTTTATCCACAGATGTTGCTGCTGTCGCTGGAGTTGCTGTTGCTGTCGCTGTTGCTATTGTTGCTGCTGTTGCTGTTCCTGTTGCTGCTGTTGCTGTTGCGGTGGTGGCTCCTCCCGCTGCCGCTGCTGCTGCAGCCGCCGCCTTGGCCACCTTCTCACCGGCGGCCGTGGCTTCGACCGCTTTGCTGGCGGCGCTCGCCTTCTCGGCGGCACTTTCCGCCGCCTTGGCCGCATCCGCTGCCGCCTTTTCGGCCACGCGTTCCCGTTCGGCGGCGCGTTCCGCCCGCTCGCGTTCGGCAACGGCGGAGGAGCGGCCGCCGGACTTCTGCTGCTGCTCGCGCTGCAGTCGCGTCATCACACCGGTGGTCATCGAGTCGATGATGCACTGCGGCTGCGGCGCCGGCGTCTTGGCGGGATTGCGCGAACTGCGCGTCCGCTGGCGGGACTTGCGCAACAGCTGCTTGTAGTTCTCGGTCTTCTTGCTGAGGTAGTAGTAGCGAACGCAATCCTGCGGCGACTTGCGATCCAGGCTGGCCGCAATCGCCCCGAAGTTCTTTGGATGCTGCAGATACTTCTCCTTGAAGGTCTCCTTCTCGCCGGCGGTCCACATGTTCAGCGCCTTGCGCTGCTGGTGCACCGCCACCATGTCCTCGATGCGTCCGTTCTCGTTGTGGTACGCACACCGCCGCTGGCGGGCGTCGTGCATCAGCGGCGGTATCACGGCGTACGAGCGCATCTTCTTGTCCTCCAGCGCCTGCTCCTGCAGTCCGTCCATGATCTCCTCGAGATCCGCCTCGGATTTGATGCGCGAACCGACGCGATTGAAGCGCTCCTTGTCCTCGCGCTGCTTCCGCAGCTCCGTGAACACCTTCTCGAAGAACTCGCGGTTCTTGGCCTCCCTGGCCTTCCGCTTGGCACTCGCCTCCATCCGCTCGCAGCGGCGCTGCCAGTCGGCCTGCTCCTTGGTGTACTTCTCCACCAAACCCTGGTTGTGCACCCAACGCTCCGCCTTCAGCTTGCGGATGTGCAGCAGCAGGGGTTCGCGCACCTGGTTCTGGTGCTGGCGGATGAGCAGAGTGAGGGCCTCCACGTCGAGCGGTTGGTTGTACAGCGGCAGCCACGGGCGACCGGCCATGGAGGCTGGCGAGGATTCCTCGGCCGCTGCACTCTGCAGCATGGAATGTTGCGCCTGGGCAGTTCTCCTGTTGGTGGCATAGATCTTCTCCGCCAGCATTTGGCGGCGCCAGGCCAGTTCGACCACCTCGTCGCGATCGTTGTTGTTCTCGCTCAGCTCCTTGGCCGCCTTCTGCTGCTCCTTGGCCAACGCGGCCTCCTCCATGAGGGACTTCTCCTTCTTGCGCAGCGTCTCCATGCTCAGCTCGGCGGACTTGATCTCGTTGTC